TTAGCAATATGTCTCTCAAATCTCTTCAGTTTACATCATGGAACTAAAACAGAATCGTACTCAGATGCGTTAATTTTATTATAAATTCTAAGCAGCATAATGGTAATTTCTCTTAAAATAGTTTAGCAAATTTCAACCTCTCTCATATGATTTCTTCATATATCTCTTAAAATTATTCTGTTTATTAAAATACTCAATTTTTGCCTTTTATGCATAGCCTAAATGTAGGAGATAGTATTCAAATTTGCCAGGATTTCAGAATCCATACAGCTTTAGTTTTTGTCACTTCAAATACACATTTATTCTTTAGCTACTTAAGGAAAAAATATCTCCTTGCATCTCTTTGATGACACTCCTCTAACCATTCAGTAATCTGTCGGTAATTGTAACTTCTCAGCTTCTTTAGCCTAAAAGAGTTGAATTGCCACAGATTGTCATGAATCCTGGTTTTAAAACTATCAAGAGTCCAATTGCTGACTGGGATGGGGAAACTTCTTTCCAATTAAAGTGACTGCTTGCATGTAAAATCATGTAACATTTCACTTTTTAATTAGGTATATCCTTATCAAATACAAAGAGGTCCATCTTCATTTTATTTTCTACACAGAGAATGAAATACAGTGAAAACTAATCATACACCAATATAGTGCCAGACCTAATAACACTTTCAGCATACCCTGACTACTAATGCATCAGTAAATTATGTCTTCTATTCCTGTTTTATTCCAAACATCTACTTGGAAGTCAAGAATAGGCTTAAACTTTTTACATCCAAACATCCCTGGGTACATCTAAAAATATTAAGCCAGCTACAAGTTAAAAAGAAAAAAACGGGATTAATTTAAACAGAAACAGGAAAATTCATGAAAATATAGAGCATCAGCTGACACCACAGCAGGACTGCCCACACTGCTGTCATATGAGTCATTCATCTCCACTAAAATTACTAGTTAAATAAGGACGTGGCAATCCAGACTTCTAATTCTCATGTAATTCTTGCCTGGCTAACAGATGGCAACTACCAAAGAAGTCCATATAGTAGACAACCGACAGGACTCTCCTGGGACACAGTACCTTCCTGATGGACACTTCTCACCTGGGCTAAAGCCTCACTGCACAGAGCAGAAACAGAGGCAGTGTGCAACTTTCTCAGCAGCTTTCTCTTTTTAGGTCAGGCCTGGGAAAGACACTGGCTAGGGACTTTTATACTACAAACAAAGGAGAATGCTAGCAACTGGTTTTGTGAAATCAAACACAAGAGCCAGGAGACAGAGACAACTCACTAGAAGACGAACTGAAAGAACTGTTCATTGAAAAGAGCCCATCTTAAAATTCCCATTCTACATGGGCAAACTCAGATGAGACCAGTATTATACTTCTTTAATGCCTTTTAATGCCTCAGAATTCATATCACACCAAGAAAAGCTCTACCTCCAATTATTGACCCAACTGCAAGTGCTGACATAAAAGGAACAGACCAGGACTCTCAGCAACCTGTTGCTGAAGTTCCACCCATTAATCTGATGAGGGGAATCAAGGTCTCAAAACCCCAAATACACCACTCAGAAGAACAGCTTGGAAGGGCCTAGAACTGCTGCATGAACAAGCCTGAAACAAACCTCAAGTAATTAACTCATTCAGCACATGCTCCAGTTCCCAGTATTCCTGTATTCTTCTCACAGTCAATCATTGTCTGCTTAATGTAGTCTTCACTTTATATTTTACTTCTACAAGATCTTTGCCTTACTGTGTTAAAAAAACTTGACAAGATGCTAGACACAATTCAGAAGCAGCAAGAGGTTCCCTGTTGGGTTGATTAATCAGCTGCATAAATCAGTGCAAGCTTTTTTGTAAACACACACAAAAGCATGCCTGCTAAGAGGAATGCAAGGCTATTATAAAATAGAAAGGTTGACTAGCTTTTGGAAAGAGGTAAGCCAGAGCTACTATTGAAAGCAAGTACACAAAGTTCAGAAGAATAATTTTATAAAGTTAAGAAGCTCAATATGGAACCCAAATTAAATATTAATTGTTGGCAAAAAGGACTGACAAAATTATGGACAAAAAGGCTTCCTGAAGCCTTTTCATAATAACTTTCGTTTCCACACTCATTATAGGAAAGACTCTTCTTGGAAAGAAATAAAACATACATGAAGGAAGCTTGCTTTTTAGGGAAAAGGTGGATAACAGAATCCCCTATGAGGTTGCGAGCTATGCTGGTGATGGTACGTGCCATCGGCAGGGTCTCCCATGCCAGACAGGTCAAAACCGAAGGGTCAGATATAATATGTCCATGGGCAGGATGGGCTCACTAGCCTTCTGGCAACCATCCTAGGAGAAGGACAACTCTAATTCCAAACCTGGGCAGAAGGAGCTCCCTTAGCCCTGTAAGGCCATCCAAGAGAAGGTCACTCTAATTAAACCTACATCCTGAGGACCTCGCTGCCACTGTCCAAGCTCGTTCAGCCCTGGCAGATGAACCTCAGGATTAAAGGGTGGGTTCAGTTCCACGCATACTGCGTCTCACCTAAAAAATCCATTGCACAGGCTTGAAGGCCTTACCCACAGTCACAAAGCCCTGTAGCGACGGGTGAGGGTCGAAACGGCAGGTGAAAGGTGCACTGGAAGCCACAGACCCAACCCTGCATGCAGGCGGTTCAGGATATTGGTCGTTTGAGACTGACCGGAGATGACAGTCTCTTGGGGCAGCACCCTGAACGACCAAGCAGCCTTTTCAAGGACAGCACTGCTTGCTCCACTCGGAGAGGGGCCTAGAAAAGGTGGCCTAAACAAAGCTCATCTCCACTTTCACCCGGTTGGTTAACCACAGGCCAACAGGCATCTTCTTCCAGTGCGGTCGCACAAAGATCAAAAGACAAAGGCATACACCTGCCTCCAAAGGTGTACCTAAATTAGCTCTAGCATGTTGGAACATCAGAACCATGCTCGATTCTGTGGATAGTGGATGTCCTCAGTGTCGCTCTGCCCTAATTGCCCATGAACTGGCACGTCTCACCATCGACATTGCTGCTCTCAGTGAAGTCCGTCTCCATGAGGAAGGCAGCCTCAGAGAACACAGTGCCAGTTACACAATCTTCTGGTCAGGTAAACCAAGAACCGAAAGGCATCTCTCAGGAGTCGGCCTCATGATCAAAAACTCTATTGTTCCTAAACTCGAAAATCTGCCGACAGGTCACTCTGACCGCATTATCTCCCTACGCCTTCCACTACACAACAAGCAGCACGTTGTCCTCTTTAGTATATATGCCCCAACTCTCCAAGCTGACCCTGCTGAAAAAGATAAATTCTACACTGACCTGCGCCGCCTTACCCAGAAAGTGCCTGCAGATGATAAGATCATTATCCTTGGTGATTTCAACACCAGAGTAGGAAAGAATTTTGAAGCATGGAAAGGAGTATTGGCAAGCATGGTGTTGGAAGCTGCAATGATAATGGTCGACTTCTGGTAAAATTCTGTGCGGAGCAACAGCTCACCATCACCAATACTATCTTCCAGTAGAAAAATAGTCTGAAGACAACCTGGATGCATCCTAGATCTAAGCATTGGCACCTCATCGATTATGTCCTGGTGCGACGGAGAGATGTCCGTGATGTCCACCATACCCACGTGATGCCCAGTGCAGAATGTCAAACAGACCATCGCCTTGTACGCTGTAAACTCAACTTCAACATAAATTCAAACCTAAAAGGGGCTGTATCCCAAGGAGAAGACTCCAAGTTAACAATCTCCAATCAGCCACAGTGAGAGACAGATTCCAGGCAAACCTTCAAACCAGGCTCCAAAACCATTCCATAGATTCCTCTCTTGAAACAATCTGGCACCATATTAAAAACAGCATCCTGCAATCCTTAAACCATCTTGTCCAGGAGCTGCTTTATGCTGATGACGCCGCCCTTGTTGCCCACACAGAAGCAGCTCTGCAGTGTTTAACATCCTGCTTTGCAGATGCTGCTGAGTTCTTTGGGCTGGAAGTCAGCTTAAAGAAGATTGAAGTTCTCTATCAACCAGCACCTCAGGTAGTCTTCCATCATCCCCATATCACCACTGGTGAATCACAGCTCAAATCAGTCCAGCAGTTTAATTACCTAGGTAGCCTCATCTCCTCAGATGGTAAGATTGACGGAGAGATAGAAAACAGGTTAGCAAAGGCATACAGTGCCTTCAGAGAGCTTCATAAAAGAGTATGGCGTAATAAACACTTGAAGTAAAGTACAAAGATCAGTGTTTACAAAGCCATAGTGCTGTCTACTCTCTTATATGGATCTGAATCATGGGTCATCTACCGCCACCACCTACGACTCCTAGAACGCTTCCATCAACGCTGTCTCCGTACAATCCTAAACATCCACTGGTCAGATTATGTGACTAATACGTCTGTTCTAGAACAAGCAGCACAGATATTGAGGCCATGTTACTGAGAACACAGCTGCGTTGGGTAGGACACGTCTCCAGGATGAAGGACCACCGCCTCCCTAAGATCTTGCTTTATGGTGAACTTGCCGCTGGCTGCCGCAAGAGAGGAGCCCCGAAGAGGAGATTCAAGGGCTCCCTGAAACAACATCTCAGCCTTGGCCATATTGATCACCATAACTGGTCTACTCTGACCTCCAATCGGGAGGCCTGGAGGCACACTATCTTTAACGCTGCTGCTTCCTTTGAGAAAGCACGCAGGATCACTCTCGAGGAGAAAAGACAACGCAGAAAGAATCGTGCCTTCCAGAATACATCTCCTAAGGAGTCTTTCTGCTGTGCCTTTTGCAACCGGATGTGCCTATCTCATATTGGCCTTTTTAGTCACCAACATGCTTGTATCAAACGTGGGTAGAGCCCTTCCCAAATCTTTGTTCACAAAGCCTAGCCGTGATGGATACCAGAATTTAAAATTCTAACACATGTTATTCATGACTTCTCATCCTTCTGAAAGTGACAAAAGTAAAAAGTTTCACACACTGGTACTTCATGTCATGACGTGATTAAGTTTTATTTTCTTCACATAATTTTTTTAATTACTTTGAGTTACACTAAGTTTATAAAAAATTCAAAACAGTAGTCTTAAAATGATGACTTATCAGATAGGAATGTAACTAAAACCCAGCACATTCCACTGATTTGCTGTGAAGTTCCATCAAGAAAGGGACAATACATCATTATCATTATTAAATTGTTACTACTGTACTGACATTACATAAAAATCCAAAAAAAAAAAAAATCCCCATTCTGTACCAAAGAGTTTACAGTCCAAAACTAGCTGCAGTAATGATAAACACTGTGATAGTAGGAGATAGCTTCTATGCAAGTTAAAATAGGAGGTTAGTGTCAATATATGGTCATTGGCAGTAAAGTCACAAGTTGAGAAGGGAAAGTAACTCAAGGGTACTATATCAGAAGATCTTCTGAAGATCTTTGCATAACCATAGTTCCTTCTCTAGCCCAGAGTATCAAAGTCTGCAATAAGGCAGAAGGATCAAGTGAGACTGTAGGACCAAAAGTATGACATAGTGTCAGGAAAAGGCAGAGAAGTCAAGACTTGCATTTACTACAGCTGGACAAAGTTCCACATACAAAAGCCTACAGAACTGAAACAACGAAAAGGCAGAAAAAGTACTGGAGCAATTGGAGAGTGAAGACATTTAAGAAGCACCAGACAAGAAGGTCTGCTGCATTTTGGGTTAGGAAGTCAGCGCAGAGAAAGTCACCAGTCCATTGAGTGGAATACAGCAATTCAGTTTGGCACAAAGTTAACAAATTAAGAACAAGTTTTTGGCAGCAGCAAATATGCATACTACAAAATAAGAATATAAAATTAATAATCTAGGATTTTAATATACAAAATGCATTGAGAAGTAAAAAAATCTTATAAATTGATTTAATCAGACTCATGAATCTTAGCTTTAAACTAATAAATGATAATAGGAAAAGAGGCCCAGTCCTACAGACTTTAACCACAGTTAGCTATTTGCAATTGTTATGACAGTACTTCAAGCACGGGAGGAGTAGTCTGAAGGTAGGGTTTTCAAGGTAGGAACACCAATATTAACTCCTAAATACTGCTGGTGGTATACTGTTGGAATATATCCAATAAGGCAACTAGATGTCCTTAGGGACCACATTAGCTTCATTGTGCAGTCACAGAGTATTTGTAAAGCATTACAGAAAGTTTATGACAAATTTTGCTTTCTGAAGTTTATTGAAAACAAGACATTGCTGAAGTTATTTGTGACTAGAAGCAAGAAACAGACTCAGATCCATAGCACCTTACAATGCTACTCATGTTTTAACTACACACTGAGAATACTGTTTTTCAAATTTTGGAACTAATCGTGATCAGTCTAGGGATCCTCACCTTCAGCAAAGACAAGATTGACAAGTCATTGCAAGACTGGGCCTCAATCCCACGCAGTTAACTGAAGTAACTACAGGAACTAAAAGAAAATACAACTTGTGTGCTATAGCTGTGCAGTACCACAGCAACTTTCAAACTCTTTAGCTTTTATTTCATAGATGTGCAGCATGGTTCTAACCCATGGGCATTTATGACTGATGCATCTGCATGAAGCTTCTCATGAATGTTGCAAGCTTCTGAACATCTTCTACAGTCACCGCATTATATAAAGAGGCACGGATTCCTCCCACAGATCTGAATTGAAAAGAAGAGAAGAGGAAAAAACCCAAAAGTTTTGTATATTCTAAAAAAACCCCACATTAATAACATTCACAGACATTTAAACCCATCCCTACTCTAAAAGGATAAAACTCATATTTTATGTGACTCAGAAGCAATAGTTAATTCTTCAAGGTAAGCTTGCAATCTAGAGAAGCTTAGTATTTATCAGTTATTTACAGCTCCAAAGTTGTAGCTCTATGACATCAAAAAGCTAATCCCACAAACACCACTGAACATGGGAAAGAACTCTTGCCACTAGCCAGACAAGCCACCTGAGAGGCTTCATACAATGACACCATCTAACATCGAGTGACACCTTCTTTGGCATTTGCACACAGATAGATTTGCCAAAGAAAGTAGAATTAAGCAGAAAGCTCTCTGAAGCCCACCATCACACCTAAGCAGTAGTTGAGCTACCAGTAGTCTCTTCCTCTGATTACAGTCTCTAGACTCCTCTCAAGTGATGCCAAACCAATATGAGAAAGAGCTTATGATGAGAAAGGCTGGTAAGTCAATGCACAATGCCTGCTGCTGTATCACTACTGTAGTAATAGTTTGTTCTGCATAGCAAAGAGATTCGTCTGACTAATACTTACCGATGTCCTTTCAGAGATATCATGTTAAGTTCCACAGCCTTCTCAAGAAATTTCTTTTCCAGGGCTTCATCACCCTTAACACTGCCAATACGGAAAGGAACATTCATTCTGCTTCGGTTCTTTCTCTCCACTGGACATCTAGAAAGATTGTAGAATGTAATACTTAGCCCATTTTATGCTAAATTTATGTTTTCAGCTATATACAATTTCAGAATGTGAATAATCACATCCGTTTAGAACCAAAGTTGATCCTCTATAATCAAAAAGGTCATTACTTTCTGTGAAAGAAAGCAATCTTCCTTTTTTAACCAAGTATATTAATGGAAATGGTAAAGTGGAAGGCTTATTAACCCTTCCCGACATACTCAAAATTGCCCCAGAGAAATGTGTAAGAGGCTTGTATATAGATGAAATAAAAACCAAAACAAAACCAAAAAAAAAAAACCACACAAAAAAACCACCCTAAGAAAAACCAAAACGGAAAGAAAACAGTTACTTAGGATAAGTGAGTTTAGGTACAGTGAATTTCGAGTACGTCTCACGGAGTTTCTTTTCTTTGTTTTCAAAGACTGACGCACTTATTTTTACTCAGCTAGTCAAACATGATACCAGAATCAGACTCAGCTAAACAAAGGTAAAGGAAGTATAAAAATACAGCATTACAAAATTTCCACAGACATCAGTGACTTCTGTTAGTGGTTTCAGTCCACTTTCTAAATCAGTATTACTCAGAATCATCTCTTCAAAGAGAGAAGAGGTATCTCTAGAACAAATGTGGCATTGTGTACATGGCCACAACATATACAAGATGCACCACAGCTCTTTAATACCTTAAAATTCCACCTAATTTAAAGTGGAAAATTCAAAATACATTTCTTTTCAATTATTTTGTGAAGGTAAGAAAGGATGGGGAAACGGGAGAAGATTTAAATATCTTTCTTCAGTGGTTCAGCCTTCAGATTTATTCTTTCCTCAGGCTGTGATGTAAATTCTTGCAGGCATTCATTAGGAATAAGTTCTCATAAACTGCATGTATATTTCATACCTATTATTATTCTATTTGGCAAAGAAAGGGTATCATTCTTCTTAGTTTCTCCCTTGTTCCTTTGTCCATATGTCTCCAAAACAACAACAAAAAAAAAATCCATCATAATACCTGCCTATTCAAATTTTCTGCTTCAGGCTCAACCACAAAAACACTCTTCGAAAAGGCCTATGCTTAAAAACATTCCCATGCCTGAATTACTACAGCCATGCTATAGTTTTTAGAATATCCAGTTGCTATTAGACAATCTGATGTAACTCGGTGCACAGACTATGGAAAGCAAACTGCTAATGGCACATAGCACTTCGTGGAAGAAAGGCTCCATTTGCTAAATGGCTTGCCACACTGCTTACCCAGGGAAGCATTCCACAGATTAGGTGGCACATTACAGCTGGGAAGGTATCTTCAGATTAAGTCTTCCTTTTAGACATAGATACAATAAAAAAATTCACAATCTTAACTGTATTGCTCCAGAAGATGCATTACAGCTCAGTCAGTGAAGCTTGTTCTGCTTTCCCAGCTGACTATTTACCATCCCATCTGCATTGAATTTCCCACTTATTGCCTTACAGACCAACTTGCCAGAAACAGATTTCTGTTTGTCACAAAATGTTTTTCTCAAGGCTTTATTTCCTTTCTGAGGTTTATGAAAAGCCCTCCAGATTTTGTTGGAGTAGGATCACAATCCCAATGTACTATATATTATGATGAAACCTTATCCCTGCCAATTAAGATTGCAACCAGCTTTAATCTAAAATCCAAATTTAATTTGCCCTGTCCTAACTTGGACTTGAAAATTAGTTAGGTACCCAAACTGTTGCTTTTATACTGAAAGTGAAGGAAAATATTTTGCATTTTCATACTCAATTACTAGGTTGTGCTTGGTGAATATTAAAATTATTACAACTTCAGCTTTTAACTATACATAGGTCCTGTGAGCTGAAAAATACCTTACAACAATATGTAAAAATCAGAAGGTTAAATCTGCTTTGGAAAGCCATCAAAATAACTGAAGAAAATAAACAGTACATAAAGCACATAAAGAAAATTTATTCCATTTTGAGGTCTGATCTTCTTTTATTTCAGAAAGCATTTCAGTACTTAGCATGATTAGCAAATAAAGATGCACTGCTTGACAGAGAAAAAGCAGATTTTTTGACTACTGAAAGAGGTGGTAGGGAGAATACAATGCAAAAGTCGTCTCTACAATTTCTTTCTTACAGGCCACTTTCTCTGTTTTGTTCTGTATTTCCCCAAGAAATTCAGTAAGCATACAAACCAGAATCTGCCTATCTGTGCTTAGTATACTCTTCTCCTAGGCTCCTGCATTTTATTCAATTTAGAATATGTTTTCAGTATGCTTCAATATTGATCTGTACAGGATAATTTGGAGTAACTTCCTACCGGAATGAAAGTCAGCCTTGGACAGTTACCAAGTAAATGGTTTGCACAAATAATTTCTGTGGGAGTCCTCAAAAATGGTGACTTGAAAAATACACTGCAATCAAACTCTTGAAAGTTATGAATATGTTTGACTCTGTAACAAATATCAAAACCAAAAGGAAAAGCATAGCAACTTACGCATAAAATCCATCAGATTTGTCTATAATATCATAAATCATTCTTGATTTGATTAAACTAAGTTTATCCATAGCTGCAGCTCCACCATTATTCTTTATCCATTCCAGTACCAATCCCATGATATAAATACTGCAAAAGGAAAAGAAAATTCTTCAGTGAGATATTTAAACAGAAAAGAAAAAAAGTCTTGTCTGATAGTTTGCAAAATGTTTCAGCAACAAATCTGCTGGATCAAAGTTAATCTTTCGTAGCACAGAAGGACATGTCCTACAGGTTTCCTGCAGCCATGCAGCACTCCCAAGGACATCCCTAAACATGCTGCAAGGACTACCAATTCATTGGCTACACAACTGCCTGTCAGGTCCTAGAAGGAGCCAGATTTAGCATAGGAGTTAATAGCATTCACCCTGTGCAGCTGCTCTAGCAAAAATACAATGGTGAATCTCAAATGCATGTGCATTAATAATGCCAGAAATTTAACCACATTTTCACAAATGTTAAAAATAAAAACTTTAATCCCATTTTTGTCTAAAAAGACCTTTTGCCGACATGAACTGTGAAGTTTGGCAAAACAAATAATGGTGTAATACACTTAATTATTCATTATCATTCAAGTTCTAAGTAGAGATCTGGAAGCCTACTGGCATGACATGGCTTGGGACCAAGTATTTCAAAGCTAGTTACTAAGTGCAACATAAAAAATCCTTGAGGCCTTTTGCCTTTGTGCTTTTCCTACAAAACTCAGCTTGTTCAAGTTCAGGCATTTCCCACGACTACATCATCGTCATGGCTGGGCTTCGCAAATGAAGACTACAACAATTTACATAAAAACGTGCTCACAAGTGTTTATGGCCTATTTCCAACAAGTCTGTTCTTATTAATTCCTTCATTATAGATTCCAAGGGAGTGCTCAGAGAACATTACCCTACAAGTTTCCCTAACACCTATCTAGCAGAAGGCTGTTTTAATTTTGCTGCTTTTAATTTCTAAGAGGATGACAGTACCAAATCTTTGAACACTGTAGAAAAGCTGCAGACTAATCAAGGTTACAGATTGCCTTTTATAAGCACCTTAGAGCTCTGAGAGCACAATCCTGCCACATTTATAACAGCATGCTGTCAAGTACCCCAGTATAAAGGATTTAAGTGAAGTATAGCCTACACCCCTGCCAAACATACAGGGCCACAATCACCTCTTGTCCTCACTTCCTTGAGCAAAACTTCTTGGATAAGTTAACTCCAAGAAGTCAGTCCTACAGTCATTCACAAAGCCGGGCCAGATGAAATCTTTTATCCTTCTTTTATGTCAGTGAAAATAATGTTTCGGGAACAATTTTAAATGCAAAATGCATTCCAGAGCTTGGAAATGAGATTTTTATAGCAAATTCATTGCCAATTTTAGCTAAACAGATCAGGGTCATAGAGTCAACTCTGTAGCACCATGAGTTTAAAGCCATCAGCATCACCTTAATTTATAACATCCTGCTGAAGCAGCTTTTGCAAATTCATTTAATATTTCATGCCTGTTTGCCAGCAAATCATTAGCAAGTGAAAGGAAAAGAGTAGAGAAAAAGAGAACTAAGAAGCTTTGTCAGTTTCTTAAACTGGAACAGACAGTTAGAGCCAAGCCAAACAGATGCGCATCCTGCCAACATTTCAGTCCATTACATTCTGGATTCTGGAGTGTACTCCAGTGTGGGTCTGTAGCATGAAGTGAAATCTGGCAAGACAGTGATCAGAAATGAGAAAGACTGTTGGTTTAACTTTATTTTCTGCTCCCTTAACCTCTCACTACCCTGTTAAGGTTACTGACAGATACCGAGTTATACCTAAAGCAGCACTTTCTTTTCATAAGTTCTTTGCAGTGGCTAAAATAAAGCTGCAGAATTTCATTTGTTTTGCTATTCAAACAGAGGAACAACACTGCGTTCAAGTGCTGCAACTAAGCAGAACTTCAGTTTTTCAAATGGAAATAGCTTCGTACTTGGAAAACATGAATGGCCGGATTTAAAAGCTGGCATTTTCAAGTATACAGTGTCCAAAAACAGTATGTGTGACTTAGCAAATAATCGATCATGAAATAGTGGCTTCATTGATCACCGGGAAAAAAAAAGACATACATACTGCCTATGTTACAAAGCTACATTTAGAAGACAAAAATCTGGAAACATTGTATAGTTAATTCTTAACAGCAGCCCTAAGAACGTTGGATGTACCCAGCCAGTAGGGCAGACAGGTTGCCAGTAAGAATACATCATTACAGTACTACACATTCTACAGTACACATATGACTAGGGAAAACAAATTCTGCACTGTAAAATCTGCAATAAACAAATGCTCACAAGATGTACTGTTCTTCTGATAAGGACAACTGCCCCTATGTCATTGCAATAATACACTCTGCAGTGACAATCAGCAGATTCAGAGATAAAATCAGTATCACCTCAAATTTTACTGAATTCAAGTAAGCAATGGCATTAAGTTATAGGCCTTACACACAAGAATCACTGAGCTTTAGGCCTATACAGTTCGTTTAATATCTGTTGGAAATCATTAGGCAGCCTAACTTTGCAAATTCTGGCATGCATGAACAAGACGTTAAAGCTGAGACTAAACACTGCCTTATCAGATTATGTGAATGAAAAGGAAATCTTACCTTGAAAAGTAGAAATCATTATTTTCAAAGTTATTTTTAAAAAGCAAGGGGAAAAAAGGATACCTGGATTGAATTTTTTTTTCTTTTAATCATTTCAATGGACTCTGGTATAAAAATTCTTCCGATTAAGAATGGGAAGGTATACTGGCTCAAAATCTAAATATTCCAGTAGCAAAGCATCTTTTCACTAGCTATCAATCAGAAGCCAGGAGATAGCGATTTTAAAAAAGTAAGGTGTAGTCTGTTCTGCTTCTTGTATACATGAAATCATTAGGTACATGAAAATTTCATGATCTTGATTGTTAGCAATGATTAGGAAGCTAGATCAATTTTATTTTTGGATACCAAGTCAAACACTGAGACAGCAGTCAAAGAAATACAGAAAATTGTACTAGAGAATAAAAAGCAAAGCAACAACCAAACTGCCTTCTAAAAAAATTCTTCTACAGTTTCATTTCAAAACCAGCACTTGTGAATATGTAGTTTTGTGATACTTTATATTATTTAAAACTTTACTGGACAATAGTAAATATTGTTATTAAAGAAAATCAATAGGTATCTGGAGTTTCAAATGCTGAGAATAACCTGAGGAGGAAACTGTCCTCCTTAGTGTCCAAGAAGAAAGTCTAAGTGCCAAATTACCTATTTGCAATGATCGAAGTATCACCACTGAATTGACTAGAGCTGTGTTCTTGTAAATCAGAACTGCATCCTTAAACTTATACAGTGGAGTTACGATATATAATGTTTAGTTTGAAAAAGACCACGCCCTTTGTGGCTGAGTTGCACCATGCAACCCAAACGCTACTACAGTCACATGGCTGGACACCCCACGTTTTCACAGGAGTCACGTGAAAGACTCCAACATATCAGTGACTTGAGAGCAAATACTCAACTTTGGAAGCTTTTCTAGGTAAGAGCAGCAGATGGCAGTGCAGCAGTCTTCTGAATAAGGGAAAGCACATAGCACGGTGACTTACCTGTAGCATGGTGGAGTGTTATACAAAGAGCTATTCGCTGCCTGTGTTTTGTAATCCAGTACAATAGGGCATTCCTTCAGTGCAAATCCCAGCAACTCCTCACGTACTATTACAACAGTAACTCCAGCACAGCCAACATTTTTCTGAGCACCAGCAAAAATCACACCAAACTTTAAAAGGAAGAAGAAAAGAAAGACTTGCTACATGCATTCACTTACAACTGAGTAAAACACCAGTATCGTTATACAACAGGCATACTACTCAGCTGAACATACAAGAGAATGTGTTGAAAATGAGCAAGTTGTAGGTCAAAAGAAGAGTTAGAAGAAGTTCTGATTTCAAAGTGCACTTAACAGCTATTCAACTGAGGAAGATAATCACAAGTTTCACAACAATTTGCTAAATGTTTATTTAATAACCACAAATAATTCTCAAGGAAGCCTGCCCAAATTTCACACTACTCTGAGCAAATTTACTAAAAATAAATTCAGACACAGTTCACAGTATTTTCAACCCATCTGGTATTTCAGAGCAGGCATCATAAAATCCACCTGCTCAAAGAGAAAGATCAGGAGAGGCCATGATAAATGCACTAAAAATTACTCCTTTTTGCTACACACAGGTAAGAAATGTCAAACACGCTACTTCACTAGTCAGTAACACTTCTACTCATAACACATTTTACAAACATAGGCAAGTACTATGTTCTGCCTCTGCATTATCTGTGAAGCAGACACCATAATTATGCAGCACAGGAAGCTTTGGGAACTTAAAAGGGGTTACAGATTTCTCATATAAGAGGCAAGATTAAAAAATCTGATTCACAGTACCCTGTATAGCCTATATATATACTATCTACAGACTAAATATGATTCAGATGATATTTTTTACAGTTTGAATTATAGTATATATTATAAATATATAATGGATTAGAATTACTATTCTCATATGTTGGTTATTTACATCAGTACTTGACCCTCAGTCACAGCCAGAACTGTCAACAGAGGGATTTTAATGAATAATCTGAGCAAGTAATTTTGTGACTGTATGAGCAACACTTGCACATGTAATTTACTGTACCGTTGCACTTTCAAACTGAAGGGTCTCAAAGTGGAATTCTACTGTGAGCACTTCGGTGTGAAGTCCTTAGCCTGACAGAAAAGCCATGAAGATAGCAATAGACAAAATTAAGTCAGCTTTAATTCTGACAATGACAATGTCAGAATGTCATTCAAGTTTCTGTGTACTACGATAGTACACAGTGAAGACCTCCAAGTAGACAAATAATCTTGGGCAGCTATTAACACGAAAAATTTTAACATAGTTTAGTAAGTTTTCATGAAAAAATAAGGAAAACAGATAGACATGGAAATCTCAAATTCAACACTTCTATCCGTAATCAGATATTCAATTAATGAAACATCCTTAATTTCACCACTCAGCATCTCTGGCCATCCAGACCTTTCTAAGTGCTTAATTATATGCATTCAAGTTTGAAAATGCTTTTTGTGGCCACTGTGTCCAATACTTTACCTTGGAAACATCCACGGGTCTGGACAGGAAGTTTGATGACATATCACAAACCAAAACTGCTCCTTTGACATCAGGTACGAAGTCAAACTCCACACCGTGGACAGTTTCATTAGCACAATAATAGATGTAAGATGCATCTGGATTAAGATTCCAAGTGCTTGGGTCAGGAATGTCTGAAACAGACAAAAAAGAAACCCAGAGATCAGTTGGAGACAAGTAATTTTCTTGGCATGCAATTTTACTTGAACATGGAACCTAAGTGCAAATGCAGAGCAGTTTTGCAGTATAAAGCATTAATTATGTTGTTATCAGGAAGACAGTGTATCTGGTGAGCCATCATTAATCTTGCAAAACCTTTTTATTTTCACCCCTTATTTCTCAAACTGTTTTCATCAAGTTTACAATTCCAGACTATAAACTACTGTCCTAGGGGGCCAAAACAGCATTTCAGAGGAATTCAGGCAGTGGGTTCAAGAATCCTCTTGCTGCCTTTGGAACCACTGAAGCATCCAAATTCTCACTGTCAAAGTTCTCTAAAGCTGTGTTTCTGTGCAAACCCAGAAGCATTTCAGTCTCACCCAAGCTGAACAAACACAAAGTTATCTACCTTCCTCCCATTTTAAGCTTTGCAACTGATTTACAAAATGGTAAAGATTTCCTATGTCAACAGGCAATATACAGGCATGTCCTGACAGCACAGAACAGGTTTTGCATAGAACAAATAATTGCTCTTCCTCTCTTTTCTCCAATTGCTCTTCCTTTCTTTTCTCCTCCTCCTGAGGGGAGACAGAGCTGGGGGAGGGGAAGATTATTTACTGCCTCTCCCCTTATCTACAGCTACCAAATAGTGAATGTGCTCCCCCAGACTGGAAAGTTGTAGGTTCCATTCCTTCCTGTGCCTCAGAGAATATAAACTTATTTTCCAAGTTAGTGCCCTAATCACCAGTTAATATACTAACTCACATGGGGATATTCTTGGTCTTTCTTTTTGCCAATCTTCCCCATTCAAATGCTATAATTTGGACCAGAAGGAAGAAAAGTGAGCAAAACTAGCAGTAATAGAAACTAGAACTCATGTGTTCCTGCTCCAAGAATTATTTATGTATATTCAGTGATAGAGGGCCGGGAAAGAGTAGTATTTAGGAATCCTTACAAGTAGGCAAAAGAATTCAGGTCTCCCATATATTGGCTCAAGAGGGTTAAAATCTCAGACAAGGTTCCAAATTTTAGAGCAATCTCATTACCGATTGCATATGAAACTGAAATACCTCACAATATCCCTGTGAATAGCTTAAGAACTCAGTTAAATGTTAAAAGAAACTGAGACAACCCAGACCACTTCTCTACTTAGACACTTGCTTCTTGCCACTTATTTTCTGGAATCTGCTCAGCCTCATTTCGCAATCTTTTTTCTGGTGGAGACTGTTAAGTCATTTAACAGATCTCCCAGTGATGAATGCTGAGAGATGTGGCAGACAATCTTTTGAGTGCTGGGCAGTCAACTCTAGTTAACATTTAACAGCCCAATAGCTAAGTTAGATCCATTTTTAGAGCAAGGCTAAAGACTAAGCATTCACACAGATGGATGCAATCATCAACTTACTTGTATAGGCTCCCAGTTTCGGATGAATGATATTCACTTTAGCATATTTCTCCGCTTCTTTAGCAGCTTTTGCTGACCAACCTCCAGTAACCACATAATCTGCCTGTCTTCCCTCCTTTAAACCGATAAGGTTAAGTGGGACTGCACTGAACTGAGCAGATCCACCTCCTTGAAGGAAAAGAACTTTGTAGTTGTCTGGTATATTTCTGCATAAAAGAAATAACCATTTCTATTATTCCCAGAAGACACAGGATGCATATTACTCAATACTATGCATTTAACAGCAACTGAGGAAGAACGCTGTAATTTTCGAAGACTCTTTGCCAAGATGTTAGACCCAATCTCATTAACTTACCTCAGCACTGGTCTTGAGTAACACATATTTAAGAATAATGCTATACATTTCAGTGATATAAATTTTCTGAATAGCTTTCCTTCCCCACCCCTGGGGACTGCATTAAACGAATTCATTCCCAAGTAGCTATACTATCATAGTACATAGAAACTCGAATGACATTCCATCAGAATTAAAGCTGACTTTTAATTTTGTCTATTGCTATCTTCATGGCTTTTCTGTCAGGCTAAGGACTTCACACCGAAGTGCTCACAGTAGAATTCCACTTTGAGACCCTTCAGTTTGAAAGTGCAACGGTACAGTAAATTACATGTGCAAGTGTTGCTCATACAGTCACAAAATTACTTGCTCAAATTATTCATTAAAATCCCTCTGTTGACAGTTCTGGCTGTGACTGAGGGTCAAGTACTGATGTAAATCACCAACATTATTAACTACTATGAGAATAGTAATTCTAATCCATTATATATTTATAATATATAATATAATTCAAACTGTAAAAAAATGTGTCATACTACACATAGGAAAAGAGCTCTTGATCAGCGATTCTAACACACATCCATAGAGCTTATGTTAATAAAACTGGACTTACAAGCAATGCAGATATCACCCCTATACCACTAGAGAACTGATTTCTATTGTTTGCATTTATTCCTTTAAGGTCATGTCCGTCATGAATTCTATAGAGGTGACAAAAATCCACATTTCAAAATGTAGTCAACTTGTCAGTGTGCAGTAGTCATATAAAAAACATCTTAACTTAATAGGAGCTCTTTGTCAAATTCAAAAATATAAGTATCAGACGAACAGAAGATCAGTGTCCTCCCCGAGATTATGACTCTATCATACACAGTACCTATGCATGGAAAAACAACCAAACAGGTGCTTTCATGGAAAGGTCTCCACATTATTGATGTAACTAGAACAACCATAAAATAAAAATAAGCAGAAAGTAATTCACTTACAGCAATTCACGCATGAGATTTTCGGTTGTATTTAAAATTTTTGTGAAATCTGAGGAACGATGGCTCATTTCTTTGATGGAACAGAAAATAAAAATAGCATGAAACAGGATGGTAATACATGAATTTTATTTAAAAATTCTGTTGAGCTTTAAACCTTTTACACTACTGACCCAAAATGCCTGAAGGTTGTCATTCCCAGTTCCCACTTCTACTTCTTTTTTTTTTCCCGACCCTTTCTAAATACCCAGAGAAGACTTATATCTGCAGTCTTGTCCAGATACAGGCAAATCCTGTCCATTTGGACACACATGACCCTACTACTCCCAAGAGCAACTACGTTTGCAGGGAAAAAAAATTACTCCCTAGAAAGGTTTAATTTTTCCTCACTCTAAGAATCTTCTCTGCTAATAATGTTGTAGCAAGTATATAATAAGGTACAGGAGTTTGTTTTGTTCTATTATTTTTAGCAAGGCTTCTTCATACAGTAATGGTAATTAAACATTAAGGACACTTAATACTAATCCCTCTTATTAAATCCATAGGCTGCCTTCCATGTGTAGGCATACAATTTAAACATTAATTCAAACTGTGCAGCTGCACATTTTACTTTTAGCAACTTAAACAGTTTGATAGGACTAGTAAAGTGCTGACCATCTTGTTGCATAAATCTTTTGTGCAGCTGGGGCTGAAAAGCCAGTCAGCTACCTATACGGCACAGAAGACATCTCCTCTTCATGGCAAGACAATACTACCTTCTTAATGGGAAGGATGCTATACATCAAATGTATGTAAAGCATTTTGCCATCCAGTATGTAAGATACTATACATGGTATCTATACACGTATATACAGACACACGTATACAGTACATCTGTATACAGTATGTGTGTATATGTACATAGTCTTTCATAGATACGTAAAATCATTTTTTTATAAACTGCCTATATATATATATATATATACACACACATCTATTCCAAAGACCTGAAAGTACTAATGTTTGACATATGATTTGTTATCTTTTGTCTCTAGTCCTTTGTTTTGAATCACTAAACATCAGGCTATGTATCATTTTAGTATCCTCTAATGAATGGTGGAAATAAGACCATGAAACAGTGATCTCTGGACATACATGCTACCAGAATAAGGTATTAGAAAAGGAGTTGAAATACTAAGATCAAAAAGTCTTATTAAACAATTCTGATAAACACTGAAATTCTGAAAAATGTAGAATGTTTTAAGTCTTACCAAGAACACTTATACCAAGCCCTTTGTAGTCCACCAAATCTTTCTGTGCTTCTAATAATACCTAATGAAAGAAAAAAAAATCCAGAAATAAATTAAGGGATTTTTCAACTATCTGGAGTTGCTGATGCATCATGCCTATGCCAGCTACTCTACACTGCAATAACCTGACACTTGTCAAGTGAGACTAATAGAAGTATAGTCACCATAATTTCATTCTATCTAGCAGCTGAAAGGTTTTCATAAGATAGCCAACTTAAATCACATGCTTGTTGTGGAGACCATGTTTTAAGTTATTACATTTCCAGATTTCAGAATGATTTCTAGAAGTCAAATGGAACTCTTAAACTCTTAAGCTTTACAAAACACCTAATGTTTTCATACAAACTCTTTCTAAGCAAGCGTCCTAAATACCCATACCCACCTCTGCAGTTGTGATCTTTCACTTGACTTGTGTAAATAGGACAAACAAGGTATTGAAGAAAACATAAAGAAAAAGGTCAGCTTGGGGAATTGAATATCTTAAACCGAGCCAACAGGACAATGACTGGTTTTACAGAATGAAGCTCCACACTTTTTGAGGATGAGCCTTTTCTATGTTATTGAAAGTTAAGAAAGAAATTGAGCAAAATTTTGAGACAACCAAAAAAACCAGGTCACTCCTATAAGTCCTAGCCAAGTAATCTTCTGCTTCAGCCTTACATTTTCTTCTGTCTTCTCCAATAGCTCTTGAATATTAACAAAGTAGAATGAGATTCTGGCCACTGGATCTGCAGCTTCTGATTTCAGTAAGTTCTCATATGAGAGCCAGAACACTCTTGGCTTTCCTAAAGGAAGTGGGAGAAGAGGGACCCCCAGCAGAACAGTCAGCAAAACAAATGCTACATGAATGCACCCCAGGATCTAACAAGAAACTGCACACTCTGGACAGGTTCAGGAACAAGAGATCTACCTTGCTGACAAGGTATCTGCATGGTCTGTAAACTGTAACAGCTGGTCAGCAAGAGGTCAACTGAAAACAACTGTGCTGCTTTTTATTTTAGAGATTATGAAGTTTTAAATACCATGTTCCACAATCAAATTTATCCATGCCAGAAAAGGGGGGAAAAATGAAAGGGAGCGCACAGACTACTAGAACTGCTTGATAAAATCCAGTTCTGCTGGTAATATTTATCAGACAATCTGCCCATGCAGATATCAACAACACGTCTTATAATGGCCACAAATTGCTCCATCCACCTTCATGCTTCAGTGAGTCTGAGTACTTCACGTGAATCGCAATCAAAGAGAAACAAGCGAGATGATAGAGTAGTCCACATAAGAACACTGCACTTCAACAGAAGAAAACAGATTAATAATACAGAGTTCAGCAATGACCTACTCAAACCCTAAATCCAGTTTTCAATAGTCTGTCAGAAACCTGGGTACTACAGCAGTCCCATTGAGAGCCCTTTTCGGAAACTAAGGATTCAAGACAGAACAACAACTTTCTTGGCAACCTCACCTACAAAGGACATTTCCGAGAGAAAAAAGAAGGAGGGGAAAGGAGAGTGGAGGGAGAGGGAACAAACAAACAAAAAAAAAATCAAGAAAGCTGCTCTGCAGCAAATTCATTTGCCTAAAGAAAATTTTTAAAGAAATAACACATATATTCCCTTCCCCTACGAAGGGAACTAAGAAAAGAACCAAGAAAAAAAAATAATTCCACAGTACATAACCCTTAGTTGAAAGTCAGATGCGTGCAATTTGGAAAAAACCACCCTCTCTCCATATCCCACTGGATAATCCACGGCTGCTGATGCAACTTTCCAGAAGGTTGAGTCTACGCTACACTCACTATAATTTCTTAAGTAAAGACGATTCATGGAATACTCTACACAGCTGCCCTTCTGCACTGAGTACCTACTTCCCATCCCAAAACTAACGAAATGCCCTTGATGCCATATGATCTGGTTTGGAAAAAAACAACTCAGAGAGCAATCCAAAAACCACACTAGGGCTCGCTTCCAAAACTGCGAGCTTACCATGGCAGTTCGTTGAGTGGGGAAGGGAGAAGAAAGGAGGTTTCAGCGCTGTGCGGCTTAACTCTTTTAATGACTATTTACTCGAGCTTCCCCAGCCCTTGCTTTGCAGCCGGTGCCCGCGGGGAAGCCGTGAGGACGAGGACACCCACCCGCGCCGTGCCCCAGCCCGGCCCTTACTCACGGAGCGCGGCAGCTTCGCCGGCCCGGCCCCGAAGTTCGCCACCTGCCTCCCGCCGTCCATCGTCCTGGGGATGGTGTCGGTGCCGACCCCGGCCGTCCCGCGGGTAGGCCGATATAAAGCCCCCGCCGCCGGGAGCCCGGCGGGGCCCGCCCCTGTCCCGACCGCCCATTGGCAGCGCGGCCGCGGCGAAGCGGTGGGACCGGGCGGGACCGGGCGGGGCCGAGCGCAGCCCACGGGCGGGGAGCGGGCAGCTCGTGCTGCGATCGCCGTGACGGGGTTGATCTGCCTTTACCTTCCTGCCTGGCATTTGGGAAAGTTTAGTGAACCTTGGTGAGGTGCCAGTGCACACGCAGCCGTCAGTGGGTAGACATGCAGGCAGGCGCACGCCCACACACACACAATTAACTACTGTAACAGCATGTCCTACTGTAACTTTACTTGTGCTTTTCCCCACGCGGTTGCTGCTGCAGGGTTGGGACACTTCTTCCAAAAGCAATCTGCATGAAGATGTGAGAAATTACAAACAGCGATCCACAGTGATGCCCAAAGAGGCTGTGGAATCTCTCACTGGAGACATTCAGAACTGTCTGAATGCAATCCTGTGCCACGTGCTCTAGGATGATTCTGCTCAAGCAGGGAGGTTGGACCAGATGACCTACTGTGGTTCCTTCCATACTGACCAATTCTGTGATTCATCTTTAAAGAGGTAGTTTTACAGTATCCAAATGTTCTCATATTTTGGGTGAAATTCTTTCCTCACAGAGGAGGAGGATCCCTGCCTTCTCCAAGCCAAAAAGTACCCGCACCTTGCGCACTGTTTTCTTGAAAAGTTTGTTGCAGGCAAATTGCCACCTGAATTCATAGGAAGAGAACAAAATCAAGAGAGCTCTGAAACTTAATTCATTTCACAGATAGCAGAGCATGGACTTGCCTTGAGGTCTGCCAAAGCCTAGGCTAATATTCCTGAATACTAAACCATTCTTTCCACACATGCCTTGGTTCATTGAAAACATAGAGGCTATACAGTTAAACTGTTGTAACTGAAGGAAAGATTTTAGCTCACCCACTTTCTTCTGATTGTTTTAGGGAGAGACATGGCGCCTAACAGTTTTCAGAAGTTACAGGCAGTAGCAGTAAATCAATTTTGACAAAACAAGCCATGAAGTATGACTGAAAACAGATGGGCATCACGAAGTCCCATAGTCTTCAAGTATCTTGGACAAGATTCACGATTCTCGTATGTACAAAGCACAGCTCCCGAACACCTTAGACTACCAAGTGTTACCTGTAACACTGGCCCTTCTTTAGTCCCTTGCACGTTCACCAAGCTAATCAACATTAATCGTCTGTATACTAAATCTGCATTTTTTTCAGAAATGAAAGTGTCAATGCCTGTTACTTTGCAAATACTGAGATTTATATAAAATATCATTTTTCATTGCTTTTGCTGTCAAGTCAGGTGATACCTAGAACAGTAAAAAAAATTTACAGATCACAAACTGATCTGGTATTTAGTTAACATGTTACATAAGTTATTTTGTTTAAAAGACTGAAAACAGAGACATTGGTTTGAGAGCAAAGATAACCTTCATTTCAGTAATGGCTATAAGCTTAAGAAAAATCTACCAAACTTGCTTTCAGACACCAGAAACCTCCTCAGTTCTGAAAAGATAATTGTAAACTTCACAGACGTTATTATAGGCTGAATATATTATCTTCAAAACAGCAAGGTATTTTTAAAGTATGTCTCAGGCCACAACCTCCAAAACAACTACACTCCTTCTAATTATTAAAATCAGTTCTAATTAAATGGAAGCCTCTACTGAGATGCTAAGTAGCAACATAGATGTGACTACAATTTAATTATTTTTATTAGTGTCTGAAATAAAATCGGCTCCAGAGATACAGGCTCCTCATATGGGCTTTTCCCAGTATTAAATCCAAACTACTTATGTCTGCCCACAGAGGCAGCTTCAAAGTCCAATCTGCTAGGGCAATGGCATCCTAGGTAGGAAGGGGTAATGGAAGCAGTCAGAAGTAGTGTAGGTTAATGATTCAAGTCAGAAAGTGTTTTGACATCTGAGTAGGATCAGTCTTCAATCCTGTGTGCTACAAACCACAACGTAAATTAAAACTTTGGAGTTAAAAATGTAATTCAATCCTTTGGCAGAGAGCTAGAACACAAAAACAGAAACTAGGCAAGCTGGTGCTGGTATCAGCTCAGAGCACTGGGAGTAAATACCAGGTATTGTAGTTTTCACCTCACCAAAGTCCCATCCTGACCAGAAGGGTCAAAAATAGCAGCTCCTATGAGATCAGAGGACAACAGTGCTGGAAGCTTTGCCATGCAGAGCTTTAGAAAAGTTCACATAATGCACTGATGGGAAGTATAGAAAATTGATAAGAATGTATAAACCAGAAATTTTGCTTTGGGGAAGGGATTATTATGCTTTTGCAGTTGGAAAGAATGAAGAGAAACGCTACAGGTCACATAAGAGTTTTGTTTCTATTGAACTGAGATTTCTCCTATTTTAATATTTTGCTATCAGCAATTATGATTTAATGTTTTTATTACATCAAAACCCATGAATTCATCATATCAATATTCATAGTCACCTATTATGAAGTAGAGGCTTTCAAACCCATGACTTCCAGGAATGCTTCTGGCTTCTACAAGTTGACAGAGAATTTGACCCCTTCCATTGCCACAAATTCCTGGGGATAAACATGAATTTGCATAATTAATACAGAAGCAGAGAGAGCTGTATTTACTATGTTGCATAACTGGAAAAACAAGACAGATTTAAAAAAAACACAAAAAAAACACAGAAAAAGTGTAAATAATGTTTCAGAGTTTTCAGTCAACTTTTATTAGGCTCATGGTGACTTCATGTTATGCTGGACAGCATTGACTGACTACTGCTGGAAAAGGATCAGCTCACTCAAGGAGAGCAAGCGTACTACAAGTTCTCTGTCTGGTACTATACCTGACAAACTGACGTCATTACTAAAGACAAATAATACTGACTACATAGCAACCTGGCAACTGTTTCTGGAGGCAGCTGCAATGTCTGGTCCAGCAAACTAGTGAGACAAGCAAATTTTGCTGAAACCTAAAATACAGGGGTTTGAGGTTAATTTGTTTGCCAGAGATCGCAGTTCTGAACTGTGAAAAGTAGTTCTTCGGAAGCCTAAATGAAGAGAGAAAAAAATATTGAGTTGTATGAATAAACAGTAACATGTTCTCTAGCAAATAGATGGCCCATTGATTTCAGGCTTTTATGTCAGACAAGAACACAAATATGTAAAATATTAACTAACAGCAAAAGGATGAAACAGTTTATATGAGAACTCATAATAAAAAAAAATATTTTACTTTATATTAAAATATTGTTAAATAGACATACAAAATAATTACTTATATGTATAAAATATTTTTTGTAAATGCATTTTTAAATTGTAAGCAAAACCCTTGAAACTTCTGAAATATTCATGATAGCCTTAAAAAAATACTTCTCCTCTGGGTGACTTCAATCCATTGTCTCTACTGACTTCAGATCCAACACGGAACTATATATAAAGTAGGCACTACAGATTCTTACAGGAAGAGTGCTATACCACAGCACCAGTGATGAGATGAAGAATCCTTCATGTTTCTGATTTTACAGAAAAAAAAAGATTAAGTATTAATCCACTGGAAAAAAAACATGCCAATCTCAATTGCAAACTGCCTGATCAACTTTTTTTTAAATTATTATTTTTTACATAATTCATATTGTCAAAGAGAATATATAAAATTAAGTACTTAACATAAAAGGTATTTTATATCACCTGCTTATAGGCCTTCAATAAATAAACTGTTTTAAGTTCTTTTTGGTATTTTTAAGGACAAATAACAGATTCCTAATTGGTAACCTCACAAATCCAAACACTTTTGAATTTATAATTTTACCCAGCATTTCTCAGGGATTAGCTTTAGACTTTTAAATTTTAAAAAAAGGAACAGATAGCATTTTAATGCTGAATATACAGATTGCATGTAATTGTTCAATCAAACCAAAATCACAAGCAAAGGATGACTGAAGAATTAGAAAAACAGTTGGGAAAGTATGTGAAAAATAACACAGATTAACGTATTACCTTCTAATATTCTGAAGTGACAAAGTCTGTACAAAGAACATACTTTCATTGTGCAATTACTTGTGCAATATTGCAATAGTTAAGGTAAACTTGTGCTATTTGCTCTGTAGAAAACTTCCATTTGAGGATTCATGAGTTTTTTCATAATTATAAAGCAACAGGAGTCAGGAATTTCTACAGATCTTCTGTGTTCCAGAACTCACATGACAGATCTCAGAATAAAAAGGAAGTTATACAATATTTTTCCCCCCAGTTCAGCCTAAACCATCCTGCCTAATTCCTGTATGTGAAAAATATCTTCTAGTTCAGAAGCTACAAATCAGCTGCCTATGCACAGGGACTGAAATAAGAAGCTGGGGGGAAAATCCCAGGAGTTTTAGAACAATGATATTCTTTTAGTTTAATTTTCTCACATTTCTCTAGGTCCTGAGAGCAAGTTAACTGAGCTGGACTAGACATCCTCCAAAGGTCCCTTCCAGTGTGTGTTACTCTATAATCTGCATCATACTAATAACTGGTATGACTGGTATACAATAAGATGGTTATATTTAAAGATTTCTTGCAGAGATGTTTCTGGGCTCATTTTTGAATCTGAAACTTCCACTACTTTTGGAAATGTCATACCCACACACTGTTAGGCAGGAATTGATGTTTCCCCCCAAACCGTTTTTGCCCTACCTTGGAATACACTGAAATAAAACACTGGGAAAAAACTGTACTCAAATTAACTTTATTGGCTCCAAACAGTTTACACTCTACACCAAGATCAGTGTAGGTAATGAAATCCATATGCCAGGAGTCCTCTGTATGTAGTACAAACTGACAGGTACCATTTTAAGTGTATCACGTGTTTCCAAAGTTCAAAATCTCATGACAAGGAATGCAAACATGAAACAACATGCAATGTTTTAAAAAGTCACAAAGTCTTCATTACCTTACAGAAAATTCACAAACTATACTGAAACATCCAAAATCTATTATTAATATTCCAAGCGTAAAGAACAGTCCAAACATTTTAGAACCATTTCAAATGCTGGTAACACTTTGTATACTTTCTTGTATTTCAGAACCAGATCCTAAAGTGCCACTTCCAGAGCTGTTTACTGCTTGTAGTGTACTTTGGTTTCCTTTCGCTCCAGTAGCTGAAGCTGCCGTTTCATTTGCTCTAGGGATGTATTTCTTAGAGGAAGAATTTTTGCTTTTTTCAACAGACATACCACTGGATACTCTGCTGTCATCACTTTTAATATGTACACTGGAATCAGCAAATGAATGCAACTGCCTTGCTGAGTGACCTTTTGCTTGTTCATTTTGTTTGACTCTCCTCTCAGAGAATATTGGTGTACTACTGCGAGGCTTATCCTCTTTATTTTGGTCAATTCTTTGAGCTTCAGTTTCCTTCCATGAGCCTACCTGGTACTGCTGTCCAGCAGTCTGAAGTTCTTGTATTTCTCTAAGTGCAGAAAAGGCATTATTCATAACCATCTGGGATTGAAACATACCAGGAAGAGACAGCTGGATGTCCCCTATTCTGTTCTGAAATGAGAGATTCCAATGAAGATACTGATGCAAACAGAGAGGAAAAAAGCCAGTATTGCAACTGCCATATATACACAGAGTAGACACATTACAGTTTCCTATCTAGCTTTAAATCTATACTACAAAGATGTGTCAGTTACACTGAAGCAGCCAAAGCCTAATCATGTCTATCATTCCAAAATACCTGCAATTCATTATGTTTGCTTGCAGTTCACAAAGGTATAGTCCCAAAAGTCTATCCCACAATAACTCGCCACTACAAGAATCTAAATTAATCACCAGTACTAGGAGATAAGAACAAGAGTCTTCAAACTGGAAATTGTTTTCCACACTTCTAGAACTTTTCATTTTTTTTTAAGCCCAAAATTTTTAACATATTTTAGAGGCTCACGATGTTCTTGAGGAATGCAGGACAGTTAAAGGAACACATTGGAATGCAGAGTGATTCTCAGATATGGCAGTTTTATTCAACTTGGACAAGGCTATAGTCTGCCAGTATCTTCATTTTTAATAGCCTTAAAAACTTAAGCCTGGGCTATTTTTGTTGGTTTTTTGGGTTTGATTTTCTTTGTTTGCTTGTTTTGGGTTTAGTTTTTTTTTGTTTGTTTTATTACAGGAAGTTGAGTATCTCCTTTGAAAAATCCATAGGATTTTCTACTAATTGACAGAGTAGAAATGAAAACCTTATGAACTATCTGCAAATACTGAAAATTTGTAATTGCCTCAAATTCATGTCATGGCCATACAGAAATCCATCAGGACTGGACATATACACTGTAATTACTTAGAAGATAATTTGTGATTTTCAGCAGGCACATCGTACTAGTCTCTACTATGAGACTAGGTTTTTAAAACCACTATATATCATTATTAAATGTTTCTAAAAAATGTAGTCATGGTATTTTTTATTTTTAATGAATGTATACCACTATTGGAACTTCTTATTTCAGAGTAAGAAACAACATAATTACCACCAATACTTTAATACATTACAAAATACTATGTTTTATGTTCCAAATGGCAAACACTTTAAAAGCTTACATTACTCACTGGAATATTACCATCTGTATAAATGCAGCTGCAGTAAAAGGCTGAAGTAAAACTTCATGAATCAGAGGGGGATAACAGCTTGAAAGTACATTAAAAAGTATCAATTAAACTTGTCTCTAGCATTCTGTCTATAGACTTACTTTGCTGTTCTGGTTATGTTCCTGTCTTTCTTCTTCAAAAGACTTCTCCTTTACCATGTTAGCAGGCTTACTGAGAGTAGAATTCATTTGCGGATGCCCCAAAAGGCCAAAATCTGACTGGTCTATCCCAGCTAATACAGCAAGTTGTCCAAGTCTGTAAAATAAAGTTCAGTAGAAAATGACACAAACAATTCTTAGCCTTTGAAAGACCTAAACAATCAAAAGCAGAAAAAGAAGTAGAATCTGTTTAAAGCTTTGAAGATAGTTTTCCGCTATTTTATGAGAAGCCCAATATCTTAACCAAGATGAAACCAAGTAAGTAGAGGTATTTTCTTATCTTTGCACAAATTAGCCTGCAGGTTCAAAACTCAAGTGTTATGAGGCTGAAAATTAATTTCTCCTAGTTAGCACTGCACTCAGAACAGGATGCTGACAGGCAGATTCCATGTCAGACAGAACAAAGATCAAAACTCTGTCATTCAAGCAGAAGACTGGCGCACAACTCCAATCTAGCATAATACATAATGAATGCCATGACATGATTCACAAATACAGTGATGTGTCACTTGCCAGTTTACAAGTTGGTGTGTTTTAAGCCTCAGTAAGAAGCGAGAAGTTGCAGCCATCAGTTGATAGCACAGGATATGATATACGGAAGCTTATGAGAACACTCTCTGTGATTAGGATTCTATAACTTCCAGAGCAGCTCCCTAGTACTACGAATAGTCATAGGGACTGTATAATAAAATATTTTTCATGTAGTGAAAATGCCTTTGTCCCTTCCTCAAAAGTTTTGAATTAATTCTTGAAGTAATGCCAGCTCTGCAAATTGATTGTCACAAAATCAAAACACAGCCTTGGGGTGAACTTTACAGCAACTTAGAATCATAGAATCATGGAATCATTAAGATTGAAAAACACCTCCAATATCATCAAGTCCAGCCGTTAATCTAACACTGCCAGATCCATCACTAAAAAAAATTTTAGATGTTTAGTTTCTAGATATTTTCTGAACACTTCCAGAGATGGTGATTCCACTACGTCCCTGGACAGTCTGTTCCAATGTCTGACCATCCTTTCAGTGAAGAAATTTTTCTTAATATCCAGTCTAAACCTGGGACAACTTGAGGCCATTGTTACTTGTTCTGAGTTACATCATTACAGTTTGGAAGTGGGAGGCAAATAATATCTTTTTTGATCTTCTCTGAATATGCAGAGTAGACTACAATATATATTCATAGCATTCCTTTATTCTTGTGGATGGGATTGCCATGCCTGACTACATAAGCTTTACAAATCAGGTTTAAGCTGAAATTCTTTGACAAATGGGAAGGATGAACCACCCTATGAGAAACTGCAGGTACAGTGGTAAGACAAACTTTAATCAATACTCTCTAAAATAATTCAAATAATAATAAATAACCCAGAATTTAAATAGAGACTAGATTCAATTAGAAAATGGAGAGCACAAGGCAATAGGACACTTTCCGAAGCCAATTCAACTGCATTTTGAGCCTTTCATCTCATGGGAATGCTAAGAGCCACATGTGATTCAATAAAGACTTGGAAACATGTTAGAATAGAAGCTTTCTGCTCTTTCAGAATGGCTTCTTGAAAGCCTTTTCCAAGGACAGATACATGAACTGTGCTTGGATCACGTTCTTCCCACTAGGAAAAGACTAAACAGAAGGTACATGGCTAATTTATTTTCCTTTGCTCTTTGGAATTACAGTTCTATAAATCTGGGGGGTAGAAGGCAGCATACTTCATTGCGAAAATAATTTCGGGAAAAGATCTAAGGAGAAACAGGAAGACTTGAGTAAAGTGACAACCTACCCAGCATCTTTAAGGAGGTCTAAAAAAGCATGAAACTTTTGAAAAGAGTTCTCAATGCTGCCTAGAACACCTTCATCTTCCAAAATCGTGCTGGTTACTGACTGTGCCTGAAGAACCTCGGATAGGGAGATATTTAGATTCCTTAATCTTGCATTTTCAATTTCCAGCTATGTGGAGTGGGGGGAAAAAAAGAAATTTTTTTCATTTTAAGTTAAAAAAACCAAAAATATCAAACCTCACCTTTGCAAGCCTAAAGAGCAGCATCACAAAGTAAAATACCCATAGTAACTGATGTAACAGATACAGAGTTTGCTGTACCAGACACATTCCAGGCACTGTTATATTGAGCTCTGTGCAGATCTGTTTATCCACAGCTGTAATTCTATGTTACCATAGTGATATTGCTGCAGGCACTCAAAACTGCTGGCTCAGGACTGTCTTCAGCATGTACAGAATGTTACAGAGCAAGTATAAGCAGAAAAAAATTAGCTTTCAATATAGTAGTGAGTATATTATATGATACATTAACACCAAAGAATTTATTTTACTAGTAAAAAAAACATAACGAAGGCCAGTGTTCTCCTTATATTCACCCCTCTGTATCAGAGGCAATGCATACTACTGTTAAGTCTTCCCTGCACTGTGCATCTGAAAATTGAAAGTTAAGGATGATTCAATTTTTCTCCACACTGAATATTAATCAAATTGATGACAGACTAAAAGTTAAATGATAACTGCAGGATATACAAGGTTTTGTGTTTGAGGGAAGCATTAACTCAGACACTCATTTAAGATTACAGCTATGCAATCATATGCTACCACAGGCTTTCCTTCTTTCATTTATTATGAGGGCAAAAAATTTATACATTCTGTAGTATGCTGCAGATGTTAAATGAGCATCAAAATGAACAACTTTAAAGATTACTCCTAGTTGGTTTATTTGCTCTCTTGAAGCAAGGTGCTACATCCAACCAGTCTAGGATGACAGAGAAAGATTTCTTGCAGGGGGTATTTAGCCTAAAAAGCATTTAAGTATTCAAACAACAGATACCCAGAAGAGCCCACTGGTGCAAATCACATTACAGGAAGATGTGGATGATTGCACAAGATCTCTACAATGAACCTTGCGGAGTGCAGTCCTTTGTGGATATCTGCTCCCTGTACTGTGGGGTACCATTTGGTGCTCAAATTTCAACAGGTATCATCACTTTCAGTCCCCTCCACTCACATCTAAGAACTAAATCCATTTGTTTACACTATCTTACATGCAACTCTATTACAAGAAATTCTGCTTATTGATGCAAAAGAATACTTTTAGGTCAGCAACAGCAGACAGGAGAAAGAAGACTTCACAATTTAACTGTGATAAGTTGTTCAGTTTTGTAAAACTAAGCTGCACTTCGCAACAACTGGCACGCAGATGAGCATCCAATATGGTTATTGCCTGTGGAAACAAAGCTTAAAAATCAAAGCTTAAAAATCAAAGGTACAGAATAAGCCAAAATAAACAGTAATTGTGTGGTAGTTTAGTCTAGGCCTTCCTTGGTGACCAGTTTGTAACCAAGGAAGTGCCCAGATTTACCCAGTATTCCCTATGATTTTTACGTAAGTCAGGGTATAAGAAGAAAGGAGGAAAGGCTTTCGCCCTCTCTTTCCTTCCGGCAGCTTTGGAGGTGCGGGTTTCCCTGCTGTTGAGTCTTGTCGGGTTGGAGAGTGAGGCCTGGTGAGGCCTTGCCAACTTTGGGAGACAGAGGTTGCCGGCGGTCGTTCCAGCGTGACTTTCTGTTGTCCCAAGGAGAGTAGTAAGATAGTCTTTTGCTAATTCTTTTAGTTGCTAGATCTTGGGCTATTGATCGTGTATATTTTATTTTGTTTTTGTTCCTTTTTTCCCTTCCCTTTTCCTTTTGAAATTGTATATATATTTCAATTGTATATAAATGCAATATAAGTGTAAATATATTTATATATATATTGCTTTAGCTGCCTCTCTCTCGTTTCGGTTCTCTTGGGTTTTTTTTCCCTCTTCTCCCTTGGTTTGGGGGGGGGGGACTTCTTGTGGTAAGGTTTGGAGACTTGGCAGGGAGCCAGCTTCAAACCATATCAAATTGCAACAAAGAGGTTCTCAGCACAAGTCATGATAAGTGAGTTGGGAGACAAAGAACCATCCATGTGTGCAAACTGCAAACAGATTTAATCACTTTCTCAAGAAAAATAAGTATCAGGATGCCCCAGATCATAAAACAGCAAATGAACAAAACCCATTGAAAGAGTAGCTTGATCTGGAGTTCAAGGCTCTGGAACAGGATCAGGAGATTAATAAACAGAGATTTCATCATTGCCCTTAGACTAGTAAATGATCCACGCGACTTTGAACTGAAACTCTGGAAACCACCACATTAGTGGTCATAGATAATTACTCCTAATTAAGCACATGGATACTTTGATCAGTGCCTCCTTTAAAGATCATTAACAGTTACGTATCTCACCTCTGTTACTCGTTCCTCAGCCTTCTCTCTAGCTATTTGTTCTTCCTTTAGTTTTAACATGCATTCTTCCAGCTCCAACTATCAAACACAGATAAACGATCAAGAAATTTACCTCAAAATGTCAGATTAACATGCAATATACGAAAACTCAACACGTCCAATTAACAACTAGCACATGGCATTCCAAACAAAAACTTATCTGCTACGAAAATACATGACAGATGTCTACCAGTACTCTAGGATGGAAAAAATTAAGAAATTAAGAAGAAATCTGCTCAACAGATTTGTAATATTGCAACAGATAACATGAAATTGCAGCACAAGTCTCTAGATTATCAGCCTGTATTCTTTATCCAGGATTTTATTCCTTCTTACAGCAATAAAATACAAAATTCTGAGCTGTAAGAACTGTACTCTTTACAACTGATTTCACTTATTTCTTCAGTAGAAAAGTAAGATTTTCACAATCCCAAGTTTAGTGTTGAATTAACAAGAACACAGCCAAACATCTAATAAACATATTCTATTCTTATTCATGAGATGCCTACATGTGTATTTTAACTATTAGTTTTAAGTGGTGAATCTCAGTTTCAGTATCAGTAGTCAGAATTTGATAAGCAATACTACATTTTCTTGTATCCCAGCAGAGCATTATCATCTTTGATTACAGCATCTGACATGGAAGAACAAATCAGAATTTTTGTTCTTGCACACCTTAACAGAGCCTTCTGGTTTGAAAGGTGAAAACTGTTAAAACTATCAAGCTAATCTATTTTTCAGAGGGTAGACTATATGAAATAACAGTATACAAAACTTCTTCATTTCTCTACACACTTGATACACGAGCACCTATACGTAAAAAGACACAGTTTTTTATACACACTTTATCAACCAGTTCTATAGGGAAGCAGAGATCCGAATAGTACTGAAATCCTTTGTTTCCTATAAAAGTTTATTCAAGAGCATACTATTGTACTTCATATAGGCAATCATCTGAGAAGACTGGTGTGAAACAGAATGTGTAGTAAAACTAATCCTTCTCCAAATACAAAGAGGTCCTCACAGGTCTTAAAAGATGCAAGGGACTTTTGCATCTGATTCAAAGATGCAGGTTTTAGAATAATCTAGATATAGGCCTCACAGTGACAGCCACTCTTAAGTGATGGTTATGAGTCTGTCACTACTGCCCAGTGAAGCCCACTCCTATGATCCCTAGAGTAGCATCAACCAAGCTAACCCTGGAACTAGAAAGCTAGTCTTATCTTTATCATCAGAACACGAGCATCACCTGTAGAAGTCAGTATCTAACCCGCGGGCATAGAGTTGGGGGCAATTCTCTAAGGAGAACCATCCAAAAGTACCACAGTCTTACTGCAATCAACGTTAGAACATGTGAAGTAATGTCTCTTACAGACACACAGACAGGAAATAGTGACCATAATTTTCTGCATTCACAACTTGACATGTAACTTGGAATCCCATACCCTAGCTTTGAAGGCCAGTCATAGCTACCACAGACCTGAAGAATGCTTACATTTCCATTTATAATGTGTGTGCATATGTATATGTATGTATTTTAAAGTTTCTGAGATGTAGGGGGTTTTTGGCAAGGAACTCTACTTTAGAAACTGTCATCATCATGGCTAGGTTTCACGAACGAAGATTTGGGAAGGGCTCTACCCACGTTTGTTACAAGTGTGTTGGTGACTAAAAAGGCCAATACGAGATAGGCACGTCCGGTTGCAAAAGGCACAGCAGAAAGACTCCTTAGGTGGTATATTCTGCAAGGCATGGTTCTTTCTGCGTTGTCTTTTCTCCTCAAGAGTGATCCTGCGTGCTTTCTCAAAAGCATCAGCGGCGTTATAGATGGTGTGTCTCCAGAGCTCCCAATTGGAGGCCAGAGTAGACCAGTTATGGTGATCAATATGGCCAAGGCTGAGATGATGTTTCAGGGAGTCCTTGTATCTTCTCTTTGGGGCTCCTCTCTTGTGGCAGCCGGTGGCAAGTTCACCATAGAGCAAGATCTTAGGCAGGCGGTGGTCCTTCATCCTGGAGACGTGTCCTGCCCATCGCAGCTGTGTTCTCATCAGCATGGCCTCAATACTTGTGACTGCTGCTTGCTCTAGAACAGATGTATTGGTCACATAATCTGACCAGTGGATGTTTAGGATTGTACGGAGACAGCGTTGATGGAAGTGTTCTAGGAGACACAGGTGGTGGCGGTAGATGACCCATGATTCAGATCCGTATAAGACAGCAGACAGCACAATGCCTCTGTAAACACTGATCTTTGTACTTTTCTTAAGGTGTTTTTTAGAAACTTTAGTTTTATAGTATTTTTGTTGTGGACAGATTTTAGATAATTTTAAAGGTGACAGCAATGACCTTTTTCCTCAAATTGGTGGTTTGTAATGTCAAAGGGCAATGGCTTAGAAAGCAGTTAAATTACAACAATTTTTTAAACAGAAATGTGGATTTTTCTTGTTTTGTTTAAACTTGATTTATCACACTTTAAATGTACACAATATTTGATCACAGAATCAGAGAATCACAGAACATGCCAAATTGGAAGGGACCCACAAGGATCATCAAGTCCAACTCCTGGCCCGGCACAGGAATATCCCCAAGAGTCACACAGTGTGCCTGAAAGTATCATCCAAATGCTTCTTGAACTCTGTCAGGCTTGGTGCTGTGACCACTTCTGTGGGGAGCCTGTTCCAGTGCCCAACCACTCTCTGGGTGAAGAACCTCTTTCTGATATCTGACCTAAACCTCCCTTGACACCATTTCAGGCCATTCCCTCAGGACCAATGACCATAGAGGAGAGATCAGCGCCTCCCGCTCCTCTTTCCCTCACGAGGAAGTTGTGACTGCAATGAGGTCTCCCCTCAATCTCCTCTTCTCCAGGCTGAACACACCAAGTGACCTCAGCCACTCCTCACACAGCTTCCCCTCAAGGTCCTTCACCATCTTCATTGCCTTCCTTTGGACATTCTCTAAGAGCTTAATATCTTTCTTATATTGTGGTGCCCCAAAACTGCACACAATGTTCAAGGTGAGGCCACCTCAGTGCAGAGCAGAGCGGGACAATCCCCTCCCTCGACCGGTTGGCGATGCTTTGCCTGATACCCCCCAGGACATGGTTGGCCCTCCTGGCTGCCAGGGCACTGCTGACTCATATTCAACTTGCCATCAACCAGGACCACCAGGTCCCTTTCCACAGCACTGCTTTTCAGCACCTCATTCCCCAGTCTATACAGATGTCCAGGGTTGCTCCATCCCAGGTGCAGAATCCAGCACTTCCCCTTGTTGAACTTCATCTGCTTGGTGACTGCCCAGTCCTCTCATTTGTTGAGGTCTCTCTGCAGGGCCTCCCTGCCTTCCAGGGAGTCAACAGCTCCTCTGAGTGTTTTGTCATCTGCAAACTTGCTCAGTATCCCTTCCAGTCCTGCGTCCAAGTCATTTTTGAAGATGTTGAAGAGCACAGGGCCCAAGATGGAGCTGAAATCCAAAAAAAGATTACATCAACTGGCTTCCCTTAATCAACTTAGGTGGATTACATAAGAAGAAATCAGGTTGGATAAGCAGGACTTTCCTCTCATGAAGCTGTGCTGGCTGTGACCAATGACTGACCAATAACTGTGTTCTCCTTCAGGTGTTTCTCAATATTTCCCAGAATAATCTTCTCCATAACTTTACCAGGCACTGAAGTGAGACGGACAGGCCTGTAGTTTCCATCATCCTACTTGCCCTTCTTGAAAATTGGGACAACATTTGCCAGCTTCCAGTCAGCTGCGACCCCTCTGGATTGTTATGGACTGACTTCAAAAACAAACTGAATGCTGCAGCTACATCTCCTCATAAGCAGTATCAAAGTTAGCATTTAAAGGAAGATGCCTTACACCTTACAATATGTGTAAACATATTTGTCAACATTAAATTACAAGTATATGCACACTTTATTCTTTCATTTGCTTTTAAGAAATTCACTGGTTGACACAATGCCCTAGTCTTTTTGCTGAAAAAAAATTTTAAAATGCATCAGAGAGAGCTAAATGTATATCCAAGCTACAAGACTAAGTCTTCAAGAAGTATAGCCCAGAAAGACAGTACTGACAGCCTTTAAGATAAAATTGCATACCAAAAATATATATAGCCCTCAGAATTACTGTATGCAGTATGACTATTCAACACTAGACAGAGGTATAAAACTGAAGTTAAAAAATTAAAATATATTTTAAAAAATTTAGGAACTAATTAGCCATGTTTTTCTCCTTGAATACATTGCTGTCCTTATTTTTAAAAAAGTTGTAATGCAATCTCTACTTCTTTGTAATGCACAAAGTAGTAATATGTGGAAAGAGCTGACTGGTAACTAGACTAAGGGTGAAGTTCACCATTTAAATCATTAGTTAAAATTTAAAAATATGGGAGTTACCTCAAGTACATTCTTCATCAGAACCCACTCTGACATTCGATTCCCTCTAGTGGAAGGAATTAGTATCTATCAGTTCTTATTTTTCATTTAAGCAGAAATAAAGCCTTTCATTACCCAAGACATTTTTTTTTTACAGAAAATACAACTAAGTACTACTTGTTTCACTAAGTGCCATGCTTAAAGCCCCTTTCTGGGCAGAAGGATGCAGAGAAGTTCTCATGGACTTGCATACTAAAGTGAAAGTCTGGTCATTTAGTCACATCATAAAATGTTTGGAGAGCTTTCATGGCAAAGTGGGAGTTTAAGGAGTTCCCATCTCTTACTGTTTATTCCAATTCTGCATTCCCATCATTGTTCTAGCACAGCTGTTGTCTCACTTTACTGAGAGGCCTGCTCTCAGTAAAGTGGATTACTTTTCAGTTAGGTAAGTTCCTCCCTGAAGCTGCTGGGCATTAAAAGCTGTTTAATGACAGTACCTAAGCCAAATTAATACAGATAAAAGAGTCCTCCACTTCCTCTCTCACCTTATGAGTCACAGACTTCTGCCACTTACCATACTCTGGGGTTCTGAAACACCCCGAGTCACATAAACTAATGTGAGTCGTTAAGATAGCTGAACGCTATCCTGGAAAAATATCAGAGACTGGTTGAGGCTGGAAGGGATCTCTGGAAGTCATCTGGTACAACCCTCTGCTCAAGCAGGGCCACTTACAACAAGATGTTCAGATGTTGTTTAATATCTTTTAAGGGGAGACGCCACCGCTGCCCTGTGCAGCCCGTGCCAGTGCTCAGTTAATCTTACAGTGAAAGTGTTTCCTGATGTTCAGAATGAAACTCCTATGTTTCAGCTTCTGCCCATTGTGTAACTTCCTGTCGCTGGGCACCAGAGAAAAGAGATGGTCTCCATCCTATTTGCACCCTCTTCTTTGGGTATTTATCCCTTCCCAAGCCTTCTCTCCTTCAGGCTGAACGGTCCCAGCTCTCTCAGCCTTTCCTCACAGGAGAGGTGCTCCAGTCCCTTAACCATCCTTGTGGCTCTTTGTTGGACTCTCTTCAGTCTGCCCACATTTCTCTTGTACTGGAGAGTCCAGAGTTGGACACAGTATTGCAGCTGTGGCCTCACAAGCACAGGGGAAGGATCGCCTCCCTCAGCCTGCTGATAACATTCCTCCTAATGCAGTCCAGCATGCTATTCACCTCCTTTGTTGCAATGGTACACTGGTGGCTCACGTTCAACTTTGGTGTCCACCAGAGCCCCCAGGGCCTTTTTTTGCAGCACTGTTTTCCAGATGATCTGCCCTCAGCAGATAGTGGTGCTTGAGGTTGTTCTTCCCTGGTGCAGGACTTTGCACTTCTCCTTGTTCAACTACATGGGTTTTCTCCATATCAGCAAGTTGAATCAACTTAGAAAAACATGAAAAAAGACACAAGAGGAAAAGACTGAAGCAAGAAATGAAAAAGCACTCAGACACAGAGAGGAAATAGACATCCCCATTCAATGGTGACAAGTTGGTAGTTCGGTTCTGCCATAATGTGAAACCTGCTTTGTGTCAATATAATAACAAGGATAGGTGAGGCACAGGAACAGCTGCAGACTGCTTAAACAGTGCATCTGATATGCAACCATGGCATAAAAAAGTATTTTGGTTTTCAAATTCAGAAAGTCAGAAAAATCTGGAGTTTTACAAGCACAGAAAATTTAAAATCAATTTTGGGGTAGGCTGCTAAAATTGGTAGTTTTACCTCCAAGGTAGCCCAAATTAATCACAAATTATCCCTTCCTTACAGTCGCTGTACAGGTAACACTGATGTCATAAGTCAGTATGACAACCCTTCCCCAAAGCACAAGTTATGTCTGCCTCTGCCCTGTGTCCTGAAGATAATATTCCTCCCTCTCCAAACACCAAGAATAAATACATGAAGTGTTTCCTGAAAGCACAGTACTTCCTACATAGAACTTTTTCGAGCAATTTTCACATGACATGGAATTCTATGATTCCATACACAATGCTTTTGATAAGTGTTGAAGCCACCAACACAGCACAATGTTGATAAATTACACATGAACAGTAACAAACTCACCCCCAAAGAAAGTCCCTATACAACTTTAAGTCTCAGCAACATGTGAAAACCTTGAAACCTTCCTGAACAAAAGTTCTAGAGAGAAAAAAGGTAGGTCTAAAGAAAAAGTTTACATAGGTTTAAAAAACAAACAAACCAACCAAACAAACAAATAAAAAAATCCCCAAAAAAGTCTAGTAGTATTGCAGTATTTGTACAGTCCTTTTGCTCTAAGCCACCCTAAACTCAATTATAAAATGAAGCTCTAACACTCTTTCAGCTATTTTTGTAATTATTTTTACACAACAGTCATTACCATATTTTAGCTCTTTGAAATAACATTAAAATACTTTTATGAAAGAAATACTTGGAAGAAAATACAACAGAAATAACATTAAATTACTTTTATAAAGGAAATACTTGGAAGAAAATACAACAAGCAATAACACTGATCGAAAGATTTGCAAACTATGGTTCAAGACTGGAACAGAGAAATTACATATATTGCAGTTGTGTGTACTAAGTTAAGTTCTTTCTTATTAAGGCACTGATTTGACAATATGCTTATAGCGTATTTATCTGTATTATAATATTAAGAAATCGAACATCCAGTGCATATTTGACATACATCTTCTGAAATGAAACCCTGTGTGACATAATGCAGGATAATTAAGAGCTATTCTGAAATCCTGCTCCATGGCTACTTATTTGCTTAACAACAGTTTTCTGAATAAAACATGGTTTAATTGATATAACTTGCCTTTATGGAGTCTAAGGCACAGAACATGCTTCTTACCTCTAATTGTTGATACTCTGTTACATTAATCTTATCAATTGATTTTGCCAGATCAGGATAGTGGATGACATCATCTAAATCTTCTGTGTCTTCAGTATCAAATGTAGAAGCACTTTCTACTGTCACTTTCACAGGAACACCTGTCTAATTACACCAGAAAACCACACCCACTTACAGCATTACAATGTGCAGCAAAAATCAAAGATTAAATTGTATCAAAAGCTTAATTTAAATACAGTTGTTTCCTAGAGCTCCCGACAATGTATAAACATTGTCCAGCTATATAATTTTGAAATAAATTTGCATAAAACAATATTAAAAAAATCAATCCTATGTGTGCATATATTGGGTACATGTGGTGAGAATTTAGCAGCAGGGTCCCCGTGAGGCACAGCCAGGGCTACCCCACGTCAGACGCCTGGTACCATCTGACCCACTGCAGGGCAGAGCTGGGCCCAGCAGTGAAGCTGTTTGAGCATGGGGTGAGATGGTTTAACAAAGGGCAAAAAATGCCAGACAGGAAGAAGAGGTGGGAACAAAGAGAGTGAGAAAAAACAGAGGGAAAAGCAGACTAGGAGGAGGAAGAGGTGCTCCGTGGTGGAGCCAATACCCTCACTCCAGCCAGGCAAGACCCATGTCAGAGCAGACAGATGGATCAGAGGAGCTGCAGTGCATGGGAATCCTGTGACAGTGCAGGTTTTCCCAAAGGACTGCAGTCCATGGGAAGCCTATGCCAGAGCAGGGTATAAGTGAGCAGCCATCACACCCTTCTGTGAGCCAGTTTAATTTTATTAGTATACAAAAATGCACTTCTCCAGCTATTCTACAGTGGGCAAGGTAGGAGGGAAGATGGAAATGAGATGCAAAGGAGACAGAAGAAAGTGGGGATTTTTATTCTCCTGCTGGTATGTTTACTGGAGCAGTTCACAGACCCGTTCAAACACAAGTAAGTAATCCAAGTCCAAGACAGAAAAGATGGTGCAAAAGCCTTCAGATAAAAATGCTGTTAATCCTCCTTATTGCCTCTGAAGGGATTGTGCCCATACTCCAACCTAGCTTGCTCATATGACTAGGAAACCAAAAGATACAGAGACAGAAATGGAAGTAAACTAAGTAGCAAAGAAGTTTCAACCAAATGCTGATGTAAACTATTTTTTTGCACTTCCATGATAGATTATCTTTAAAAGTATGTTCCAGTCTTAACTTTTAGACAACAAATTCTGTTGAGAAAGAACATTTTCATCTTTTTTTGGCATTCACCTACTAAAGAAACCACTATGAGAGAAACAGTACCTGAATCTCCACTGGCAATTCTCCAGTACGATCCAGAGCCCCACCTCTACAGTTAGGAAAAAAAACCAACAAAACACTTCTGAGAAAGTAAGTTTGTAATGTCACGATTGCTACATTCACTTCCAAATACAGGATTCTAGGGCAGGTGAAGCACAAGAGTAAAAACAGCATTAGACACTGCACTGTATCCCTTTAACCCTCATTAGATCCTCACTTTGTTCTATTAGCACCCCCTACCTAATCGTGATTTAGAGCAACATTACTGGATGCTAACATTAATATCTTCAGTAGGCATCTTGCTTAGTTAATTATTTTCAACTAAAGTCAAGAGGAGAATTTGGTGCTCAGGATTTTAAAAAATAAGTTTGATAACTACAGTTATGATAGAGCATTAAGGAATTTTTTTTGTTTAAATAGTTATATAGTCTCCATTTTGCAAGGCCAAAGTCTAGGGTATAGATTTAAAAGAAACCCAAACAAACCCAAACAAAAGCTGTTTCAAAAGAGAGCTTCCATACATAACTTTTTTTAGTTTTATTTTAAGTCACTGGACTTAGATGATCACAATAATTAGGCTTGTATTGGGGGAAATGAAGCAGAAAGAAGAGGTGGAAAAAATACCTAGGCATCAAATGCCAAATCAACTATACTACAAGTTTACAACACTAACTTGCACCTTCAGCTATGATACATCTGATAAATTATTATTAACAAAAGAACAAGCAGGCAAGGTAGGCTTGGTTCTGCTGGGTTTTTTTGCTACATCTGAATATTCCTATGGCCATCATTTATTTTTGTGTATTTTAAATACTTACTAGAACAGAATTTATGTAAAATCCCCAAAATTTATATAAACAGAAAAAATTATGGATGCAATATGAAATTATATGTGTAACTTTCAAATAATATTTTAAAAAGACTAACACTGTTCTCTACTATATTTATGATGCTGGTTTTATGCTTTATTATTTTCCCTTGTACTATGAAAACCTCACCTGCATCTCTTTGCACGTTCTGCAGTCCGCCAAGGAAGGAAGCCTTTTGTGCCTGGTGGTAGTGGTTTTGGTGAGTAACTCTCTTTCACAGATGTAATTTTTTTCCCAGGACTTACCGATTTTTTAGACAATAGTCCTGTATTGAACAGCAAGATTAGAAGAGAATTCATTATACCTAAATATTTACATACAAATTCACAGCATACTCTTCCTAAGTAACACCTCCTGTGTAATAACAGGGACTATTAATATAATAACTTAATATATAAGTTATTAATTATAATAACTATTATTAATAATAACTAGGAAATCTGCCATTCAGTCTAACTACGCTAAAGTGTCCAAAAACTTGCAATTTTAAGCCAGTATACTTAACTGCTACATTAGGCTGATGCAGCTAAGACAAGCTGTTATTCAAAAAGGAAGTAAAATTTTGAAGCTGAAGAGGTTTATGAACATTACTAATTTCAGATACCTAATTCCATTGGCTCACATGGGAGACAATCCAGGTAGACAATAAAACTATCTATGTGCTTCAAACTTCCCTCTAGTGGCTTGAGTGTGAAGAACATTGGTTTATTTGTGGGCAAAATGCTTAAAAATAAAGCTGGCATTCGTGGACTGCTTGTACTTAACACTGGCAATCTCTTCACTTAAGAGAACTAGTAATGAAAAAAGTCATGTTCACCAGTCCAGTCTTTTGTTTTTGTTTAAATCATATACTATTGAAGTAGATTCAGAAAAGAAACCTAATGTGGATGATCACTCTTAACTCAGGTTGCTAAGTCAGAAACTAACAAGTCCAGAAAACTTAATTTGTTCACCTAATATTTCATACAGTTAAACTAGCGAGAATTATGGTTATTATTTCTCTGAGATCAATAAAAGAACTGATTTTGTAATGGTATGGACATGTGTAATTATGGTAAGGGGATTCAAAATTTCAATTCCGTCTCAAAATAGTAAACAAGATAGATTTCACCTCCTGACTCCCTCTCTCTCTTAAAAAAAAAACCAAAACACACCAAAAAAACAAAAAGAGGAAGGAAAAAACCAAACAAAAACCAAAAAACCCCACACCAAAAAACCCCTACCCACACCACCACAACTATATATGTCAAGCATTTTCTTCTTCCACCACCCTGATCACCACAGTTTATTTGTACAAAGACTTCAATTTGATTTATGCTTACCTCTCTGTTTCCAGATAACTAGAGCAAAGATGAGAGACAGTCAAATGTATTACATTGAAATTTTTAGTAGCTTACTGAAAAAGTGTATTGCGGCTATCAGTACTAACTTATAAATATTCAAGATACCTATCTTATTTTAAACATACTATTTATAATAGGTTTACATGAAGTTTAAAAAAATATTTTAGAACATTTTGTACATCAGTAAATAATGCATGTTTGTTTGTTCTGGCAGAGGACAGCTTGCTACAGAAAGGTTACAACAGAAGAAGAACTAGGTAACTTACTACAGCCAAGCTTTGCAGAAGTGAAAGCTTGTGGACAGGATGCACTCAGAATAAATACGTGCAATTCTTCCACATATTTAAGTCAGCATGTCCTACCGTTTTTCCAGCCACTATCTAGCAGCATTAAAAACAAAAGCAAGTTTCCTATAGATACCAGTGATGATAGAAGATGTACTACTGAATTAATAATAAATTGAATTTTTTTGGAGACAAGTGTTCTGTAAAACACTAACATTGTATATTTTACAATTAAAGCTCTTAAGTATTAATTTTGTTGACAAAATTTACTGTAGTCAGAGAAAATAAAGATGGTATTACCAATACGAATAGTAGCTTTTCCTTTTCGACCACTTCCTAGGACAACAGTTCTTTTCTTTGGTCTATTTTTCAAAGCATCTTTGGAAGATGGAGATGTCAGCCACTTATACTGGAATTTTTTTTTAAAGAAAGATAAATCAGTTTAGTAACTGATAGCTAAAGAGGTACTTATTTAAAATAGGAGAGGGTTTTGTCATATATACTTGTCTGGTACTTACAGAAAACTTAATAAACTGTAAAATTAGGAAAAAAACCAGAAGTCCCACAAAGCCGAAATTCAAACATAGATTTGATGCAAGTCTGAGTGCCACATTATCAGAAAGTGTTCACAAAACTATAATATCCCATATGATATTTTCCTATCTCCTGTGCAAAACACTTTTTTTATAGCAAAAGCCCCACAGCATCAACCCTATAATCTTTTATAGCATAAACCCCACAGCATCAACCCTATAAAGAGACAACTCTGGCTTCTGCATTTCATTCTCAGAAAACTGGCTTGATAGGAATGGCTGGCTCAGGCCAAAGTTCTCCAGAGTAATAAAAGCTTCCCTAGCACAATTTTGCATTACCAATATCAGTATTTCAAAAAATACAACGTTGTATTTTCACTGCCTTGTAAAGAAAATTCATCCTTACAAAGTAAAAGCCCTCAAAGTAAAATTAAGACACAGTGATGATCAAAGACCACAGCTGTACTAAAACTTCATTTCCTTACAGCAATAGCTCTATTCTTAAAGCTTCCCTTTGCCCTGATAAAAAGTTTCACTACTCCTGGTAGAGACTCTTAAGTTACACTGCAATTGTTTTTCAATGTGCATCCCTAATACAGGGTCTACTGCTAAGCAGCTGTTGAAGGAAATATAGATGACATTAACGCAAAGTTTTTCTCAGCTTTAAACACCATATCAGAGTAGGAGGAATTGTACAGCAAAGTTATTCCCATCTAAAGCACAGGAAGATTAAAATGCCATTACTGTGCTCTAACCAACCAAATTTAGTCCAAATTTATCATTGGCAAGAAAAACTTTTTTTTTTCACTTGGTACTCAAATAATCCTTGGGTAAGTTCTGCAGGGTCTACAGCTGCATCTAGCTCCTCAAGACAATGAATTGTTCTTTTTAAGCTGAAAACAGACAAAGAATAAAATGAAATTGTAAACATCTAAGAGCATCTTAATTCTGTTTTACAAGACACATAAAAGGGCAGCTTTACTAGGTTAACCCTAAAGTTCATCTAGACCAGTAACCTGTCTCTTGTCTAAGTGCCTGCTGCTTTTGTTGCATCCAAGTACAAAGACAGCAAAATATTAAGACTATGTTTTGAAAGCAGCTTGTTTTATAGACACCTTGTAGTGAGTTGACCCTGGCTGGACACCAGGTACCCACTAAAGCCACTCTCTCACTCTTCAACTGGACAGAGGAGAGAAAATATAACGAAGGATTCATGAATTGAGATAAGAACCGGGAGAGATCACTCACCGACCACCATCACAGGCAAAACACTTGAAAGTGGGGATATTAATTAAATTGATTACTAATGGAATCAGAGGAGGTGAATAAGAAGTAAAATAAATCTTAAAAACACCTTCCCCCTACTCCTCCCTCCTTCTTAAGTTCTACCTCCTCCCTCTGCAGTGGCACAGGGAGATGGGGAATGGGGGTTATGGTCAGTTCATCACAGGTTGTTTTCTGCTGCCGCTCAGGAAGGGGAGTCCTTCTCCTGCTCCCTGTAGGGCCCCTCCCATGGGAGACAGTCCTTCATAAACTTCTCCAGCCTGAGTCCATCCCACAGGTAACAATTCTTCATGAACTGCTTCAATGTGGGTCATTTTTCCACAGGGTGCAGTCCTTCAGGCACAGTCTGCTCCAGTGTGGGTCCCCGACAGGGCCACCCACAAGTCCTACCAGGAAAACCTGCTCCAGCATGGGCTCCTCTTCCCCTGGGTCAGCAGGTCCCTGCCAGGACCCTGCTCCAATACAGGCCCCCCAGAGGGTCACAGGCTCCTTCAGGCATCCACCTGCTCCAGTGTGGGTCTCCTCCACTGACTGCTTGTGGATCTATACATCCCTGTTCTTCACATCCATGGGCTGCAGGGGCACAGCTGCTTCACCATGGGTTGCACCATGGGCTGCAGGGGAACCTCAGCTCCGCTGCCTGGAGCACCTCCTCCCACTCCTTCTCCACTGACCTTGGTGTCTGCAGAGTTCTTCACGTGTTCTCACTCTGCTCTTCTTTGGATGCAATTTTCATCTGCCACACAACTTTTTTTCTCTTTCCTAAATATGTTATCACAGAGGCATTACTGTCATTCCTGATTGGTTCGGCCTTGGCCAGCAGCAGGTCCATCAAGGAACCTAACTGGCACTGGCTCTACCAGACATAGGGGAAGCTTCTAGCAGCTTCTCACAGAAGCCACCCCTACCAAACCAAAACCTGGCCACTCAACCCTGATACACACTTTCAATGGCTTTTTCCTTTAACCTATTCAGTCTCTCAGAAACTCCACAAACTTTCACCACCTATTACACTCAGTCATATCCACAATTACAATTCATTATACTTCTACACAGTGCTGCTAAAATAATACAACTTTCTTTTGTTTTAGCTGCCCACCAAATTTAAAGGCATAAATTAGCAGCAGGGAACTAACTCTTCTTGCAAACCTGAAAACCCAACCTAAAAGGCAATCACCTACATGCTATTGAAAAACAAAGAGAAACAACCAGTTTTTACGCAAAAGAGGATGGAAGGACTGCTGGGACTGGTGGAATAATAAGATGCTTATCAAGTACTGACTGCTGGTCAGTACTTCTTCATCATGTTGTTAATGAAATATGAAGAACTGCCAGTAAAACTTTAGATACTGCACTAAGTGGCAAATTATAAAACTAATGTCTTGAGTCGAGTTATCTCTTAGTATAAGGGAGATTCCCCAAAGTTGCTTCTTTTCATGGTTTGACTTTCCACAGAGATGCAATTTTCATGTGATCCCTCCAACATTTTGCAAGTATTGATTGCATCTGCCAAGAAGATAGAGCTTCACAACCAAGGTCAATTTCTCAAAAGAAGTCTTCTAGAGATTGAAGTGGGGAACTGTACTAATCCTCAAGGAATTTTACACACAAATTCTCAGATTATTAGATACTCCCTACAGATCCGCAGCCCTGACTTTTAAGTCTTTTCAAACTGAAAAGAGTAATAAGTTCCAGAACAAGAACTGGGATAGCTGCAGTTCCATGAAATAAAGAACACTCATTTCTTTCCTGTCTCCTTTGGGAGCTGAATCAGGTTTCTTTGTATTTGAACAGTGTATCTAATAATAAATACTCCAGATATTCAGTTTATGCACATTACTGTGAACTCTCTGTGGACTGCTAGATAAAGATGAAAGGGCGTACTGCACTTTAACTGAACTCTGTTTTCTTAGATGGTTTGCATTGGAAAGGACAGTCTTGAGTAACTTAAAAAAAAATCTTAATTATATAAATTAGTGACATGAAGTAAGTTTCAAAATAAATTAAGTTTTGAATTTTAAATTGCAGTTTCCTTTACTTTTAATGAAAATTTATTATTACCATGTTAATAAGAACACATGTAGTAAAAGCCCTCCAGCAGCAATATTTATTTAACGTTCTACAGTAATGCCCATGTACACACACATTTCCATTTTTCTTTTCATTAAATGTATATTCTGGTTTTTTTACATGGTACACCTTAAATTCCATGAGAAACCATACAAAAGCCCAATACAATATCACGTTGCTGATAGTGTTTTTGTTTTTCCCAACATAGTGGGGTTTGTTGGTTTTTAAACTGCCTAAAAGTCAAACTTCTGTTTACAACTAGAATAGCTGCTTTAGATTCATTTTGAACAAAGTTGTCCTTTAAAAAAAAAAAACAAATGCAATGGCAGCTGCAAAGAAAACCCCAAACTCATTCCAAAATCCGTAAAACATACCTCTGAATTAGCACTATTTCCGTTCTTAAGAACTCTTTCAATAATGTTTTTCATCAGAATGTGACCTAGAATGAATTGAAATACATGACTAAGAATTCTTTGTATGAGACAACTCTTTCTGTGAACAAAGAGATCACTGAATAAGCAGTATACATTACCTACCCTTCTTGTTTCCCTAATTTTAAAACTGTTTAGCGAATTACTGTGGCATGGTTTTATTTCTTAAAAGCAGTTTACCTTTCCACATATACTTACTGAAGAAGAAAAAAAAAAAACACCACCACACAAACAAGACAAAGGCAGACACAGATACATACCTATTAATGGATTTTTTCTTATGTCAAGTACCACTAATGTTGTATTAGTTTGAAGAGCATCTAATAATGATCTTGCTCCCTCATTGGATATTCCACACTGCTGCAAATCAAGTGCTGAAATGTTTAAGGAGGTAAAACAAAAATAAAATTCATTGCACTAGTGATATTTAGTTAATAATTTAATTTAATAGTCAATATCTTATAAAATTAACCCACACCTGCTGAAAATCTCCATTTCATAGAACATGAAGCATAAGAAACAGGGACATGATAACAGCCATGTGTAAAACAGGAGTATTACTGTAAAAGAAGAAAACTAAAAATTTAAATTGGTATTTTAAATCAACTTAAATAACTGCTAACAACTGCAAAGGAAGTAATATAAACCACTCTACAACCACTCCAGGCAACCTGTGCCAGTGTTCGGACATCCTCGCAGTGACAAAGTTTCCTGACGTTCAGGAGAAACCTCCTGTGTTTTAATCTGTACCCACTTCCTCTTGCCTTGTCACCAAGTACCATCAGAAAGAGTGTTTCCAACTCCTCTACAGCCTCCCTCCCAATATATTTGTATGCCTTGTAAGACCCTACTCTGAGCCATCTTTTCTCCCAGCCAAACAGTCCCCCAGCTTCCTCAGTCTGTTCTGCAATGAGAGTTGCTCTAGTCCCTTCATCATCTTAGTGGCCCTTCACTGGACTCTCTTCAGTAGCTCCAGTTTTCTCCTGTATTAGGGAATCCACATGTGGCCTCACTTTTGTTAAAAGGAAGAATCACCTCCCTCAACCTGCTCACAAGTCTTTCCCTATTGTACTCTGGGATACCATTGGCCTTCTTTGCCATGAAGGCACTTTGCTGGCTCATGGACAGCCTGTTGTCCACCAGGATCTGCAGGACCCTTTCTACAAAGCTGCTTTTCAGCCATACAGACCCCAGCATGTTCTGGTGCATGGGATTATTCCAGCCTAGGTACAGGACTTTGCACTTTCTTTCCTTAAACTCTGTGAGGTTCCCATCAGCATCCTTTCCAGCCTGCTGAGGTCCCTCTAGATGGCATCCCAACCCTGCCTTCCCAGGGATCCAAGTAAGGCTGACTGGCCTTTAGTTTCCTGGGTCCTTCTTCCCAGACTTCTCAAAGATAAGGGTGACATTACCTATCCTCCAGTGCTTACGCACCTGTCCTCCCAATCACCGTGCTCTTCCAAGGATTATTGAGAGTGGCCTTAAAATGACATCAGCCAGCTCCCTCAGCACTTGTGGATGCATCCCATTAGGACTTATGGACAACTGTTTGTCCAGTTTGTTTAAGTATTCTCTAACCTGATCCTCTTCCATCAGTATGCATCTTATCTTAAACCTGCCTCAAACTATAAAACAGTTTCAACAGGTATTTGATTCCATGTACAGAATGCTATGATTTACACCACCACCTTTAGTAATTTTGTACAGATATAATGTAGAAAAAATTAATTCTCCAAAATACTAAAGAACAATACTAGATGACACAAAAGTATTTGGATACTTTGGCAATTCAAAAGAGAAAGAGAAAATTCTTTTGAAAAAAAGAGTATTCTTCCCCAAATGCATAGCGACTTACTCTTCTGGCAGCAATTGTTATAACTGACAATTTTAAGTTTTCTGCCTGCCACTACCATATCTTAAGAGTCTATTTTGCAATACCTTTCAGCCAAAGGTCCTCTCCTAGACAGTCTGCAAAGGCACTTGCTCCTCTATCTCCAACAAGCATGTTGCAGTTCAAAGTAACCCGTCTCAAGCCTGTCATATATTCAAGATCAGGTCTCCTGTAACGCAGGCTTTCAGCCCAAGCTTCACCATGTCTTCTCATTGCCTGGTGCTTTGCAAACAAAGAAACTGTTAACAAATGCAAAGCCAAGGCCATTATTGATGAAAAGATCACAAGTTATCGTTCTTTGTAATTCACGCTCAATGGCTTGAGTGCCGATATAAAGAAAAACAGTTATGCTGTTTTGGAGTTCAAGAAATGCAAGTAATTTTTAAACCTTACAGTTAACTCATGTTTGTTCAGATTACCCAGTCTGCAATACAAATCATTAAACTTTGCAACAAAATATCTTTTTACCTTCTTTTGGCAGACAGACACTTTCAACACATTGAACAGGAAATGCATACATACTACAAAATTCTGTGCTTTCACAAAAACCACTGTTAACATTAACTAGAATATTGCACTAGTCACATACTGACTGTTAGTTAATCAGTAGCTTCTAAACTGTAAAATCAATTATTTTTACCCAGTGCTTAAGAATACTTGAAATATTTAAATCCCACATTAGTAAACCAAGCTACTTTTGGCATATAAAGTCACAGCTTTCAGAAGGACTGTACACTTCAGTACTCACATATGCTCCTTGCAAAGTGCTTTAATGGATTTAGAGTTTGAAAGTAAAAGAAAAAAATCAAATATATTAAGTTCTTGTGAACATTTTGTTCTAAGAAAGTTATTAAATTACCTTTAATACATTTGCTATATGTTCAGCCCCTCGCCATGTGAGGCTACATGCCGTGAAGTTTACAGATCTGATAGTAGCTGCATTCTTTATACTCTGACAGATTGCTGAAGAACAAAAAGGAATGCATGTTATCTACACACACGACTTCCAGATTATCAAAACAGTTTTTCACTGCCCTATTAAGAGGCTAAATCAGCTTTAACAGGCAAAAGCTTTGACAAAGAAACAGTGTTATGTAAGAAGTATATTTTAAATAAAGTCTTCTAGGTTTATACATTTCTAATGCAAATGTTTAGAAAAGAGTATTTGAACAACCTAGAACATATTTTATTTCAGTTTACTTACGTAAACTCAGGAAAGAGTTAAGAAATATAAATACTGTTTTAAATACAAATAAAAACATCATTATAAAGTAGTATGGCTATTTACTAGCATCAAGAGAAGAAATTCAAGTCTTTAGAAGTTGTTGAATCATGTAGAATAAAGGAAGGATTGTTATTTTAATCATTATAGACAAATTTAAAACAGGAATGGAAATAGTGAAAAACTTGCTGACCTACTTGGAAACTAAAAAAAAAGAGAAAAGTATATTTACACATTTTTGATTCTGAACTTACTTTCCAACCCTCCATCTCCAATTGGACAGTGGGCTAAAGAGACACTCTCCAGAGATGAAGCTGTGGCCAAGCCCTTAAGAATAAAACAATACTGTCAACTGGCTTTAAAGGCAAAAAAAGAGAAAAGACTAAGTCACCTAAACCGCACAAACTCTGTGGTCCCTACAAGAAACTCTAGGGGTTCAGAGGAAGGTCAAAACACACAAACCTTTAAGTTCAGTTAAAGCTGGTTCATTTCTTTAGAACAAGAGGAACTTCCTTTCCTAGAAGCCACTCACTAGCAAGTTCAAGTGTTCCAGTAATACATCTTGAAGACCAGTTTTTATGTCCTTGATGTCCCACAACTTTCCTTCTATCATGTACATGCACAGTAATTTCAGTCAAAAGCATACATTATATGCCTCAAACACATACCAGAGATGTTGCTAAGATCTTTCCACTAAGGCTTGATGAATGTGATTTTGAAACATTTGGAAAAACTAGGTTATAGTAAATATCTCAACAGAATCATTTGTATTATGCATAACACACATATAACTTAGGTGAAAACCATCCCTGTCTGTGACAAATACTTAGAAAATTTAGTTGCTACTATTCTTTATTCTGGGCATATGTGCCATCTATTTGTATACTAATATATTCTCACCTTTGTTAAAAGTGTTAGATCTCTTTCCCTCAGAAGCAAACCCTGCAGTTCTAAATTTTTTAGTACATCTGATATACTAAGACAGCCTTTCACAGCTTTGCATAGTTGGCCAGTTAAGTCTTTTGACAGAGTTGCTGGAGTTCTCCTTCTAAAGTAAGTTTTATATCTTTCAACACCTAGTAAACAACAGAAATTACATATCAGTAAAATCAAGTCTCTACTGGCTTAAAAGCAATCACAATCACACCTTGCTTTTCTTTGCATATTTTCTTAAATAGAAATAATTCCTTAGGCAATACAATTCCTCCCCCCATGTATTCAATCACGCAGAAGTTTTATGCAACAAATTGCAACAGGCATACATCAAAATATTTAACTTTTATAACCATCACTACGGACCTGATTCTTCAAGACCGTGTTGATGTAAACTTCTTATTCCAATAGAAGTCAGAGTCTTATTATGCCTGATAGCATTCAGAAGTGGTGCCCAGTCAGTAGCTTTGATGTGATCTACAATTAGATCAATAGCATTCTGAGTCAGGTTAGCCTTCACAGCTTTCAGTGGGACAGAGCCTTGAAGTTCACAAAGATGTTCATAATGCGAGTAGAAATCCAGCATGCACTGCCTTCTTAATTTGACTGACTCAATCATTTCTTTTATGTGATAAATTTCTCTGTAAAATAAAAAAGGGGAAAAAAGATATAAAATTTTTTCAATGTATAACTGATTTTGCAACGCTGTGTCAATTCAATATGCATACCCAAAACATGGAAATGTTCCTATACATTGTATAGCACTTACACGTCCTTAATGTGGCAACTAAAAAACTGAGGTCTTGTGATGCTCACTACTTGCTTAAGTACAGCTGAATTAATAAGGGGCTGAAAAAAAACCCCAAGCCAACAAACCCACATTTTTATTCTCCCCACACAAACAGGTATATCCAGAACACAAAAGGCCTGATCTTCAAGCACTAACTGTTGTAAAGATCTTGTTTTCCTCTTAAAATTTAATTTTGTAGTGTCAGGGTCTGCAGACTCCCAAAAGCCTTGGATACTCCCTGGCCCACCATAAAGGGAAACATACAGAACTAGTTGGGAAACAGAACTTCTCTGCTACTTCAGCCAAAAGTCTAAATTCCCCTCAGAATACAAAATAAAAATGTGTTTTCCTAAATATTTTTGCTATTGAATATCTTATATATGTATCCCAGTAAATTTCAGAGAGCACTTTTAAGGCATAAGTTTCTGTTATACATTAGTGACCATGCAGCAAAACAGTACTAACTTCCAAGTAGAATCTCTAAATACTGCTATTAAGGGTTAAGTAATTCTACTGTCTCAATAGCAATATTTGTCAGTATACATAGAAGATCCATTTGTTTAAGATCAAGATAGAATTAAGTATTCCATACAGGATATCAAACATTTTTCATATTGCAAACATTTTTTCTTACTGCTACAGACTAGAAAGTTTCAAGTAATCTTCTGAAAAATTCTGTATGTCAAATTAGGACAAGAATTACTGGACAGATACAAGCATGTAAGGACAGCCATTTCTAAGACGATAATTAGAAAAAAAAATTATATTTTTTTAGTATTCGAATGACTAAAACTGTCGTAAGATACAAACTCTAATAATAGATAATAGTTATATATAATACAGTTAATATTACTATAATAAGAGAGTTCCTCCACACCCTTTTATTTATTTTATTTTAGCTATGATTTACCAGCATTCAATGATTAAACTGTGGCCACAGGAACAGAAATTATTAAATTATAGTCCAACACTTCAGCTTCAGAAAGTGGCCATCAGCTTTAAGGCACCAATGGCTTCTGGTCGATACACAAAATATGAGCCTTTTATCTCGAGCTTAAGCAATACTCTTTCACAGTGGCTTTCATTGGAAAACCTGAACACCACACCTCTAACTGAAGTAAAGAAACAAGACACGGGCCCTAGAACTCGGAACTAAACCCACTTGCAGGTAGAGAGGAAAAGGGCCAAACTAATCATATCCACAACACCTTCCAAATGAAAAACAGCCATGAAAGCTAAACTCTTCTGCAGTGAAGTCAGTGCATCTAACACAACCTTAGAGTATCTTGACGGGCTCTGACACTGTACAGAAAAAACAATTATTTACTTATCTTTCAATATAGATGCCGGAAAACATCAGATGATACTAGCTGGTGACAAATAAAAAAGAAACACAAATAAAACTGAAAAATCCAATTCCATGCTAAGAGTCTCCAGGAGGCTATGACTTTGGAGCGATTAAAATAATGAGCCGGGTGAAAGTACAGAGGAGCAAACAAACAGCACATCAGGTGTTCACTGCCTGCAGAAGCCATGGCCATGTCCCACATCCCGAACTGCAGGACTCAGGCGGGAAGCTTAACTGGGCGCTGACCCTATGCTTACTTGCCTTGCTAACCATGGCCTGGTGGTCTGCTGGGACTGCGCTCACTGTATTTGACCTGCTGTCCCACTGTGTCTAAGTATGTAATGAAGCATCCAGCTAACACACGCAAATAGACAACCGTGGGTTTAACTGGCATAAAAGAGGAGCTTTTTAGTGTTTCACCCACTCAACATCGACACGGCTTCTGAGAACTCCTTCAGACCGTCCATCACCGAACCGGCAACAACCAGGGGCTGCGCTGTCCGCCGCCACCCCCAGGGGCACGCGAGAGGCGGCCGGCAGCAGCGACACCCAGTCGCTCCCGCACCCGCAACCCCGCGCCCCCCGCCCCCCGCCCCGACGGTCCCCCCTTCCCGGAACCGACTTCAGCCACCTCCGCGGGCTCCGCGCTCGCCCCCCGGGCCCCTGCCCGCTTCTTCCGCTGGCCCTCCGCGGGCTCCGCGCTCGGCCTCCCCTGCGCCGCTGTTACCGCCCCGTTGCGGCCTCCGCCCGCGCCGTTACCGCGGCCGCGCGCTCGCCCCGCGCTCCAACCGCCGCCGCGCGCCGCCACGTGGCACGAGAGGCTGACACTCCATTGGCCACTGCTCCTCCACCCGACCGCCCGCGTGCAAAATGGCCGCACCCGGCTACGGCAGCGGCGGGGGAGTTGGGTGGAAACTCTACGGCTGAACGCGAACTACCTGTGTTAAGAAAAGATAAAAAAGCTTTAAGTGCAGTGCTGGAAGAAAGCAGACAGGCTGTTCTTCAGTATGTTTTATACATGCTGCTTGGCTTTACTGTGAGCGAGGCATGCGAGTAAGGAGCTGTATCGGTAGGGAAACAGCTGTACTGATGTACAGCAGCAGCCGCACTCAACTGGCCCGAGCAGTCCGAGAGGGTGAACGAATTCCTCTGTCACAGTTACGTTTCTCATTAGTTTCCTAGGTTAGTTTACATAGAGGAGACTTCACATCAGAGAACCATTAACATTCAGTGCAGTGCATTACGCAGTGCAACATTTAAGGCAAAATAACTCAAAATGCTCAAAATGGAGTCCAAGTGCTGATCCTAGAATTTGCAGCTCATTCATGTGTAGGGACACCAGCTAATTAAAAAAAAAAATTATTACTGTAGATTGATGACTAAGAGTGACTTGGTTATTTAAAAAGTTATGTCTCTAGTCTGCTTGTAGGCACCAGGATTTAAACTCTAAAGTTGAACAAACTCCAGAGAGTTTTCCAGAGAAATTAGATGGGCCCCTAGAACATTGTGAGGACACTCTGTTTACGCAGATGCAATGTTACACGCTGTCTTTGACTGGCATCATAAACAACTGAAGCACCTTAAGTGCTATCGAGTGTACTGGAACAAGACTTATTTCAGTAAGTCTCAGATCACCATCCCTGCAAATTATTTCACTCTGACATTTTGTGAATTGAATGTAAAAGACGAGACACGGCTCCACAGTCAGCCAAATGGCAAAACCGGTGTTTTTGTGACTGTATTAAACAATATTTCTGGTGCTTATCATACCTCTCAGTGCCACAGACTAAACTCAAGCAAAATAAAATTCATATATTCTCAAGAACCTTTACTTCTAAAGATTTGCTGTTCAGGCTACTTAATTAAAAAGACATCTCCAGAACTGAAGTTCATAATATTGCATAGAAACTGCTCCAAGTTGCTCCCTACCAAACTTGATTTTCTTTGAAAAATAATGCTGAGTGTCCTTTTCCTTGGCATTTAATTCAGTGAATTTGCTTTGCATTCTATTTACTTCTCTAAAGTGTTTTCCTCTTTCTTTTATTTTTTAATTGAATTTTGGTGGACATGACGCAGATCTGCCAAAACAGTTGGGTACCGAGGGCATGTCAAGACTGCTCTGCATATATGAATCATTGTATATGCTCTAGACACAGGCTTTATGTAGTATCTGCAATGATGTCTTATCCTGCATCTCAGGATCTGTCATGTGCAGACCTTGCTGAATTTGTTAAACCAATTTTTGTTCTCGATGTTTCCTTCCTGTATCTTTCTAGACCATATGCTCTTTGGATTTTGTTTGCATTTTTGTTTAATGTATACTAATTTTTTTTCATCTGATTTAACATGACAGTCTCACACCATAGCCAACATTAGAGAGGCATCAGGGAGATAAAAAAAGGACTGTGCACTTTACCCTTGTGCCCAGTGGGTGGGCAGCAGATATTTTCTCTTTGCTTTATGGGGATTTCTAGAAGGTATCCTACTTGATTAATATTCTTCCATATCATCCCTTACTGCCTAGTAAGGATGTGTTAAAGGAGCAACTTCACATTTTGTCCTTTTTTTTTTTTTTAACTTCCCTTTCTAGCCTTTTAAAGTCTGCTTCCAAGTCTAAATAGCTGTCTGATTCCAAGACTAAATAGCTAACAATTTTCCTCTGTTCTCCAGAATGCCAGTGGGGTGGAGTGCTAAGTGCAAAAATGACAAACCCTAAATTTCTACAACTATTTGTCAGGTTTTAAGAGCTGCTGGTAGGACAGTTTTGTGTACCTTTTGTCCAGAAGCCTGAGGGGGCCCTTTGTTGCTAGGGGGCAAGGTTCATCAAGCAAAGATGTATTGGTAGAGCCCATTAATCTTCTGCTTAAGGCATGGAGGAAATAGTTATTGCATTCTGTCATCAGTAGACAGCTTTATCATATTTTTATTGGAAGCTCATGATTGCGTAAAACAAGTTCCCAGTGTTATTTATTATTTGCATTATACTGTAACAGGACTGACCATTCAACACACACAAAATGTGTAAAACAAACTACAGAATCTCAATGACTGCCTCAGGGCAACCCAAAGGCACAGCAAGTTAAAAAGAGAAGTGTCATTGTTTTCACAGCAACAAACCCAAGGAGGTATGAAATATGACACTTGGTCTGAAGATAGGAGTTTTTCTGATAATAATCAGTTGTACAAAACCTCTTGAAACATGGAACTGGCACCGAAGACTGAAGCAGTGGTAAGGAGATATGCTTTGGAAAACCTGAAAGGAAAAAGGAAAGTTGTCCAAGAGGTAAGTACAAAATACTTTTTACTTGGACATAAGCCGATAGGTTTAGTTCTTTTCTCCTTGCAGTAGCGAGCTATGCCCTCCATTCCATGGATTAGCATTCCTTTTAATAGACTTAGGAGCTCCAAGTCCATGTAATGAAGCCTGAATGCAAAGCAGAATTTGTTCACTGGAAGTAGGACTTTTTTTCCTCATTTCTCTACCACTGGCTTGCTTTTTGTTCTCAAAAATTTACTATTTCTTTCTGTTTCATTGTCAGATATATACAGAATATTTTTCCTATCTTTTTATCTCTTCTTCTCATTCACTGTCTCACTTTCCTTTATTTATTTTCTGTTTTTCAAAATTGCTGTTTACCAAATCAACCATCTAGCAGCAAAAAATCATTATTCCCACAAAAGTTGTACTGAAAGCTATCTAGATCAATTCTGAAAGTCATAACTGTAACAAGAAACAACACTGAAAAAACCACTCAGAAAATTGAATGCCTCGAAGTTAGGAAATGAGTAACTACTGAGTGGGGAAGATATAGAACAATAGTATAAACAAAAATAACAACATTATGCATTGTGTGTTTATGTATATATGATATCTTAAATAAGACGTCATATATACAATATATACCAATGTATATAGGATAAAATATATAGCATATGTAATTCTATACAATTGTATATATAAGAAATGTAAATTAAATATGTAAAATAACATATGCGAAATAATATATTTTTTCCTGCTGAAATTAAGTAGGAAAATTTTATGTCCAGGAAAATAATGCACTTCTATCTAACTGTTCAGGATCCTAATTTTTCTTCTAGCTTGGGAACCATTTCATAGGTGTCATTGCACAGAGTTAGTCATGCTGTTCTGATTCACTATGTCAAGCTGCACAGCCTCAGCTGCCAGAGTAAGTTACAGTAACAGTAGTAATTACTATATAGTAATTTTGACATATATACTAATTTTGAAAAACAATGCTGAAGAACAATAGGAAATGTGTTTTCAGTAGAGTAACTTTCAGATATCACAGAATCATAGAATAGCCTGTGTTGGAAGGGATCTTAAAGATTGTCTAGTTCCAAATGCCCTGACATGAGCAGAGACAGCTTCCACTAGACCAGGTTGCTCAGAGTGCCATCCAACCTGGCCTTGAATGCTGCCAGGGATGGGGTATCCCACTTCTCTTGGCAACCTGTTCCAGTGCTTCACCACCCTCACACCAAAGTTCTTCCTAATATAATACAAAGTAGAAATTCTTCTACTCTAAACCTACCCTCCTTCAGTTTGAAGCCATTCCCCCTTGTCCTGTCACTATATGCCCTTGTAAATAGTTCCTCTCCAGCTCTCTCATGGGCTCTCTTCAGGAAATGGAAGGCCACAATTAGGTCACAATTAGCCTTCTCTGTTCTAGACTGAACTGTTCGAATTCTCTCAGCTTTTCCCCATAGGAGAGGTAGTCCCTCCTTCTTGGTGGCATCCTCTGGACTCACTCCAACAAGTCAATGTCCTTCCTGTGCTGAGGACGCTAGGGGTGGATGCAGCACTGCAGGTGGGGTCTCACCAGAGTGGAGTAGAGGGGCAGAATCCACTCCCTTGAGATCTGCTGGCCACACTGCTTTTGATGCAGCCCAGAATACGATTGGCTTTCTGGGCTGCAAATACACATTGCCAGTTCATGTCCAGCCTTTCATCCATCAGCATCCCAAGTCCTTCTCAGCAGATCTGCTCTAGATCTGTTCATCCCCCAGCCTGTGTTGATACAAGGGGTTGCCCAGACCCAGGCACAACACCTTGCACTTGATCTTTTTAAACTTGATGAGGTTCCCATGGGCCCACTTCTTGAGCTTGTCCAGGTCCTCTGGATGGTATCCCATCCTTCAGGTGTGTCAACTGCACCACACAGCTTGGTGTCACCAGCAAATTTGCTGAGGTTGTACTTGACTCCTTTGTTTATGTCATTAATTAAGATATTAAATAATACTGGTCCCAGTACAGACTCTTGAGAAACACCACTTGTCACTGATGTCGACTGGGACTCTAAGCCATTGACCACTACTCTCTGGATGTGACTGTCCAACCCTAGAAGACTGCCCCCAGGGACAAGAGAGTGGAACAGAGCTGACAGATCTTTAGGGAAGTCTTTCATAGAGCATGAGAGCTAGCAATCCTCAGGAGCAAGAAGTTGGGTAAGGAAGACAAGAGATAGCATGGCTGAGTAGGGAATTGCTGGTCAAACTAAAGGGAAAGAAGAGATGCACAGACAGTGGAAACAAGGACAAGTGACCTGGGAAATTCATAGAGATGAAATTCAGTTGTGTAGGGATGGGTTGAGGAAGGCAAAAGCAAAGCTAAGAAATGAAGCTGTCAAGGGATGCAAAGAATAACAAGAAGGGCTTCTACAGGCATGTTAACCAGAAGAGAAAGGTCAGAAAAGGTGTATACCCCTTTGATAAACAGCACTGGAAAACTGGATGAGAAGG